GCAAATGTAACACAAATTCAATGGGGAATCTTGAGACTAGCGTAAATGTTATACACCGAATTTATTGACCTAAAATATTCTCCGACCAACATAACATAAGTAGCAGGCCTACCCACACAGTAGCCAACATTCAAAAAAAAAAAAAAAAAATAAGGAGAAAAGAAAGAAACTTAGGCCCCTTAGCCCCTAGTCAAATTGTTTAGATTTTGAATGAATGAATGTGATACGAATTTTATAAGAACAGTTTCTTGTTCTTTCAAAGGGCCATCCATACCTATTATATGGGCGCCCGCAGAAAATTTTCTAGGATGGAGGTGGGCAAAATATATTTACTAATGTCTTAATGTAGTTTTAATTTACTGTAGCGTATTTTTATGGTGAACGAACGGACAGGACACTGTAGTAATGAAGGGCATACTGTAGCAACAAATTTTTTATTAACACAATATATGTAAATAACAAAAAATATTACTACATAAATTTAAAATAAAATGTATTCTTTACACAAGAACTGGAGTCGTCTGCTGTCGCTACCAAACATATCTACAATTCTGTCCATAAAGTCTTTTTTGTTGCAGTTCACTTTGTCTCTATGTGCGCTTAGCATGCACAACCCAGACAGACGTTTATCTGACATTGTAGACCTAAGCCATATTTTTACACGACGTAATGTGCTGAACGATCGCTCTACCGTACATTTTGTTGCTGGTAATGTTAGCAAAACTAGTAAGGCATACCTGACAGCCAGATAAAACTTTGTAAAAGGTAACAAGTCGACGAAATCTTGGCTACTTTTGTATTCTCGCGTTTTCCAAAAATCAAACCAACTCAAGGCTTCACTTTCAAAATTATCAATGTGGTGTACCTGCTTAGTTGTAGATATTGTATCCTTAAACTGTTAACGATTCAGTTTGCACAATTTCGAAGGATGTAGGATGTAAATGTAGCAACGCTAAGTTAAATTATGCACTGTTGGCTTCACAAAATCGACTCCTCATTGAGCTAATTAGAGAATCTAAGTATGGAATGTAAACTGTTTGTCTGAAGTACTCTTCAACACTTATGTTTCCCGGATTACTTCGATGCTTTTGTCTTCCACACTGTCTTGGGATAATCAGTTCAATATCCACCTTCTGTGCGAGTTGTACTGTTTTCTCAAAAATGTCCCTGAAATAGTTATCGGAATCCCCTCGGTGAAGTTTTACTACACTGAGCAGGTTTTGAACTTGCAGTTGGACTTCTGGAAGATCAACTTGAACAGCTTGAAGAGCCTGAGTAACTGGTTCCAGTATGGCAGAGTACTGCGATATAATATTGAGACAAAATAAAAACGTGCTGGACTTTGATGAACAATATAACTGATGTGCAGCCTGTCGTGTATTTCCACTTGCATGCAATGAAAATTCTTCCAGTTGACAGTAAATATCTTCAAATTTGCTAGAAAAATTCGAATACTTTTATACTTGCTTGTCCATCTTGTCTCCCACAGAAGAGGAGTATTTGGGACAGAGGACCTCCTTTTTTGGGCTTTCACGAAAAAAATGTAATAATTGCTTTGATAGTAACAATAGTATTTCGTATCACTGCAACATTATTAATATTATTGACTACGAGATTCAGTCTATGCGAGGCACAGTCTATGCGAGAACAAAGGCAGCCTTGGGGGAAATACTTCGAATTTTGGCCTGAACACCATTTTCTTTTCCGGCCATTGTCGAGCACCCATCATGACCTTGACCCAGCAGATTATTAAGGAGAAGACCAAATTTTGTGCAATGTTGAATAATACAATCAGATATCGTGGCAACGTCCGTATCTTTTAGCGGAGAAAATCCAAGGAATTCCTCACGAATCATAGCCTTCTCACTAGACGTATCTACAAACCGGACTCTCAGTGACAACTGTTCTGTTCCTGAGATATCTGCTGTTTCATCGGCTATGATCGAGAATCCAACAGCATCGTTGGCAGCTTTTACAATGTATTCACGCAGAGCTTGTTCAGACAAGTTGATCAAATCATTCTGCGTTTGGTGGGATGTGTAACGTGCATTTTCAGCCGCTGTATCAAAATGTTTTGTTTTTTTAAAATACTGTCTCCTCCCTCAATTCGATACGCATAAAGTTGTTAGACATTTCCTTTGGTGCTATCTTTCCCACGAATTGCCAAATCATTTGTTCAGCAAAATAATATTGTTGAAATAATAGGATACAGTTTCTTTCTGTTTTCTTCAATAGTTCGTTTTACTGAATTATCTATCTGACAAATAATACCCTTATTTGGATCTCTAATGGTTGACGCGAAGTGTACAGCGTTTTGTTGAGACCCACGATGCCATGCTGAGCTGATATGGTTCTGGCACATTCATTAAAATCTTTGTACTTTGTACAAGGAGTAGTAATGAAGGCATCTTGAATTCCACTTTGAACTGGTTGCGGAAATAAAACACAGAATATGCAAAAAGCACCTTTTAACCTAGGTGAATATGATAACCATGGAGTATAGCCTACTGGGTCAGCCAAGATTAACTGAACCAACGTTTTCCACTTCCAGACATGTCGCCTTCAAAATAATTTGACGGGTGAGGCTTGTATGGATCAGTTAGCAAACGATACATAAGTTCGATAGGAATCTTCGTAGTAGATTTTACATAGAGTCCAATGTCATAGGTTAACGATTTTCCAATGTTAACATCAACATTTTGACAGGTTTGCACTGTACCTGGATAACGGTAGACTACTCTTAAACAATGAACTAACGTCCTTTAACCAAAAAAAAAAAGGGGGGAGAAGTGAGAATGGTGGGGACTTCGTACTATTTTACACAAATCTTCATGATTATCATGCAATTGTAAAAGTCTGAAATAGCCTAAAAAGGCCAACCTCTTATAAACATATGTGATATCTATGATTTCTAATTATTTTCTAAGATTACAAAAATATCAACGCAAAGTTTTATAATTTAAAATGATTAATCAACTCTTTATTCGTACTGAACTTAAAACAGTCACATCGGTTGGAAACAAATGAAATAGAAAAAAACAACAACCTGGTAATAGTTGTGTTGTTAATTAACTGCTAGCTCTCACAACAGTAGCAGAAATATTTAGCCTGATGACAAGTCCAGAGTCGTCAACATTCCTAACACAAAGGACCATGCAAATAATGGTGGATGACGTCCGATCAGGCAAAGCCAATGTAGACTCAGGAGTTCCTCATGGTACAGTGCTGGGCCCCCTTCTCTTTCTCTGTCATATAAACGACCTCCCTCATCCTCATGTCCTTTAGTCCTTGGACCGCTGGGGCGCCACAGATGACATGTGAACCATCCTCCTCCATTCCTCTCTGTCTTCAGCACTACGCACTGCATCGCCCAGTGTTAGTCCTGCCCACTCTTTGATGTTATCCCTGATACTGTAAAATCTCAAGTGAAGCTGTTTGCAGATGACTGTCTTGTCTACAGAGAAATAAATGGCTACGATGACCACAACCACCTCCAAGCAGATTTGAAGTGCCTTATGAATTGGGCAGACAAATGGAGCATGAAATTTAACGAAACCAAATGCTACACAATGAGCATCTCAAGAAAAAACAACAACATCCACGTATATGTACTCTCTAAACAAGACTATTCTCCAATCCATATCTTGGAATTCTCTTCTCAAATAATCTAAAATGGTCAACGTTTTAACATTCCGCTTAACATTCCTATAGTCCTATATAAAGTGGTCACGGCCACAGCCATCCATCCCAGCTAACACGTATATCACCCCACAGAAGCCAGGTCGCTTAATTAGAGCCAAACGCTTAATAAACACTGAATTTACCTCTGACAACTCGATGAGCAGTTACATCCGGAACATAGTAAATGCTTCACTGTGCCTCGGTGTAACACAGTGCAATATAAACAATCATTCTTCCCACAAACAATAATTACTTGGAACCAACTGGACAATGCCGCCGTGGACACATCAATCGAGAGTTTCAAGGCTGCCCTGGCACCCGCTAGGAGCCGTTAGCCTCATCGTTTCCCAAACCGTTGCACATACACCAGTACATAGATGCAGCAACGTAACCTATTAGAATCAGAATTTTTGAGGCCCCATGCAACTTTTTGGTTTGTGCCACCTGCATTCAAGGTTGATAGTTTAATTTTTTTCACAACACAATTGTTAGCCCCTTAACATTCGGAGCCTCCCGAAGCCGCAGGGCCAGCGCGACGGCCCTGGGACAACTTTAGGTCCACCGTTCGGCTTTGTATAGTTCTATGTTTGTGACGTTATTTTTGAAAGAGGCCTAATTATTTTGTTTGACATTGCCAGTGGTTCCTAGACTTGTTTGATTCTCAGAATCCTTGCTAAATCCAGTTTTCCCTAAAGCACCATATAGGGCCTATCAAATTTTAATAAGTATTACTTCGAAATGAGAACGGAAATTGAAGTGTCCTGGTTCTGTGAAAACAAATAAAACACGTATGCGCCTTCTACTTGTAGGAGCCATTGCAATCAGTTAAGTGCTCAGTCGGGCTACTGGTTTGCACCAGGTTCGCTAGGGCTTGATTTCGCATCCTGTCACATTAGAATTGGGGGGGGGGGGAGAGAGAGGAACGGTGACATTTTTTTTTAAAGGGGGGGGGAGAGAGAGAGAACGTGACATTTTTTTATAAACACTGTTGACGATGACCATATCATAAAATGAAACAGGTGGTTGGGTTGTGTTTGTGTGTGTGTGTGTGGGGGGGGGGATAACAATTCGAATTCTTTTGTCATTTTAATTTACTGCAATCTGCAAATCAATCTCCAAAGTATAGTTAGCTTAAGGGACAATTATTATTGGCAGTACCGGTATTTCTTTGCTGGTTTCCAAGAGGGCCACCATGCCAGGTCCTTATCGACTTCACAGATCATCATATACTTTACATTCCCAGATGTCAACAAATGAAGTGTGGCATGTTAAGTATTAGATTATCGACAACAAATGAACTGGCAGCAACACTCAATTTTTTGGTTTTATTTTTAGAAGGTTTATTTCTTGATCCCTAGATACCCATGACGTACTGCACAGACCATGTACACAAGACACACATAAACACAGAGCTAGTTGTGTATAAGGGACATGACACAGCAAGTAACTAAGTCATTCAAAGATTTTTGTTTGGTCAAAATATTTCAGTCATGGAAAGCTACCGTATATTATGTTGTCATGTAGTTTTAATTGTTATATAGTGTCCCGACGTGGTTGTCCAGAATCCATCTCCATCCACTACATGGCCGGATTATGACTTTGGGGGCCCTGGGCACAGCCAACTCAGGAACCTGTAGCTCATTATGGAAACAGTAAGCTAAGGATGTCTTTATTACTGTTAATGTCCAAATATCAAAACAACAAAACAAAAGTAACACGAAATATGCCAGTCTGTAAAACCTACTGCTGGTCCAGCTGTACTGAAGTTCAATAAAGGATACAGCACTTTTAACAATAATTGCTTGTGAAAAGCATAACAATAATTTCAGGAGGCTCCTCATACCTGAGTTAAGGGCCCCTTGTGCCTCAGGGATCCTGGTCCCACTTGCTGAAATGGATTATCCAACCACGTACTAGATTTTATAATTTAAAATGATTAATCAACTCTTTATTCGTACTGAACTTAAAACAGTCACATCGGTTGGAAACAAATGAAATAGAAAAAAAACAACCTGGTAATAGTTGTGTTGTTAATGTTAGTGTCATGTCATTTGAGTTGAGAGATAAAAAAGAATGTCAGTTTTGATGAATATATTACATTGTTCATGATAAAGTAACCGGTATACGCAAACATGAAGATGAGATGTACATGTGTAAGGACTGACTTAAAAAATACATGCATCACAAAACAATATTAACACCTGACAATGCTGAAACATTCATTTAAGTGATCAAAACTCTACAGTTAAAAAATAAATAACTGACATTTGATTGGGTTGGGTGCTACAATTAAATGAATTATGTAGCACTTTTAAGTAAAGGAGTAAACAATTTCGATATTCCATTGGGTTAACAAGCCGCGTGACTAGTTTAAATTATCATTGGACTCAAGAAATCATATCGGAAATTTCTTTTTGGAAAATCATGTTTAAAAGATTTACTTTCCCTGTGATCTTATCGGGCATTTCTTGAGTCCACAACAAAAACATGAGTACAGTTTAAAAAAATACAATTAAAAAGAACACCAACACCTCCGATGTCATGATTATGCAATCTCTCTACAAGGAGGATTTTTCAAAGTGTTAAACACATTATATCCACACAGCATGAAAAATTTACCTTTGTTGCAGGACGTGACGTTGTGACATATTTAAAATTTTGCTAAATGGAAAATCACAAATTTAAAATGACAATAGCTTGCTTTTTTGTCTATTTTTGTTAAATTTTCAGGTTTTTAAAAATGATATATAGCAATTCTGTAAATAAAATAAAATAAAAAAATGAATAGAAAAAATTTAATGGAATTAAAGCGAAATAAATTTGGTCCATGTTGAAAAAGTTATTGAGTTAACATCACCTTATTTTTCACTGCAACAGGGGGAAAAGAAAAGTTGATTGAAGTTATTTTTGTACTTAAGTTGCTTGGTGGATATAAAATGTTAAAATGCAGCCATTTAAAAAAAAAAAAAAAGAGGAGTGAGGAGAATGGCAGCAAGAAAAAAAAAAATTTAATTGTATTAAAGCGAAATAAATTTGGTCCATGTTGAAAAAGTTATTGAGTTAACAACACCATATTTTTCAATGAAACAGGGGGAAAAGAAAAGTTGATTGAAGTTATTTTTGTACTTAAGTTGCTTGGTGGATATAAAATGTTAAAATGCAGCCATTTAAAAAAAAAAAAAAAAGTGGTGTGAGGAGAATGGCAGCAAGAAAAATACCTGGACTATATTTATTTTGTATATTTTCTTGCTGTTCGCAAGCAGTGATATGTTTATCTTAGAAATGTGAGCTGAAAATATAACTGAAATGTGACAACTCTAAACAGGAGGGTTGCCTCCTCATCATTTTTAGTATACACATATTGTTATAACATAAAAAGTTAAATAACATTTATTTTAATGCTACTATGGTGTTATAAAGTAAATGTAGTGCTCGTAGCTGCAAGGTGATGATCTTTGATCCAATGAAAGAAATTTGATATATGTTTTAACAATGAGTAAATGCTAATGCCGATAATTTAGCTTTTTCAAACTCAAACGTTTCTTAAAATAAATCTAATTTAAATTAATATTTTGGTGTAACGTGATGCCTCTAAAATCATTTGGTGGATAAAGTAATTGAAATCTTGCCATTCCTTTAAAAAAACACTCTAAATAAAGCTATGCATTCAACCCGTCAACATATAATTGAAGTCAGGGCATTTATGCCTAATCATTGTTAAAAAACAGCAGATCTTAATGAAAACAAAAGATACGGGCATTGGGAGAAAACTGGGTTGACAATTAAGGAAAACTGAATAATAGTTTCAAAATAAACGACACAATTATCATCTATTAGAAATCATATCATGCTATGCTAATTTCTTCTGCATTTTTTATAAACAGAACAGCCAGCTGAATGTAAAGCAAAGGACTTTTACTTAAGTGGAAGATGAGGGTCTTATTGCTTTTACAGGGAGATGTTTTGATTATTTAAATGTAAAGAGTTTCAAAAAAAGAAGAATGCAAATAATTTGAATCCACCATTGCAGTTGTATTGCTCTGGTAAGTAGAATTAGAATATTAAGTGACAACATGGTTAATTATCAGGGGTAGAAAAAGTGCCAGATTACAGGGCCAGATTACCCAAAAAGCAAAGTATGTTATTATGGATAGGCCCCAACCCTTATTAGTAGGGGCCCTCCACAACGTATCCAAATCTTTAAACAAAAAAATAGATGTGATCTAGAACGTTCGTGCATTGATGTAATGTACAGTAAAGATGGGCATCTCGGATATCTCCATACTCCATCTAGTGGCTGATGTCCACACTACTTAGTTGATTGTTACCATTATCCCAATAGAGCAATGACTATAGAGACTGCTGACACAAGTCTGTGCAAGAAACTATCCCATGGCTAGAGCAGATTGCTCAAGGCTTTGCAGGTCAATGCTGAAGATGTCAATCAGAAGCTAGAGACAATTCATGAAGCCAAATATCTGCAAAATGTGCTATCAAAAAAAAGGAATGTATCATCATGACAAGTTTCTGGGCTGTAATCCTTGACCGGATCAATGGAGTCAGCAAATCAATACAATTTAAAACAATATCTTTACATCAATGTTCCATTTTGTTAAGATCACAAGAGAAATGTTTAATAACGAGAGGAAGGCAAATAAAGATATCCATGAGTAACACAGTGTTGAAAGCAGGCATGAAAAGGACATTTCAAAGGTGGTGATACAGAATAGGTCGTGTTTTGAGGAATAGAAAAGTTCAAGACTGAAACCTGCCTGAAATATAGAAATATTGGGCGAAGAGTTTTTTTTATGGCAGGTAGAAGTGTAAAGCACAGTTCATTTTCTATTTGGTTTCCTCAAAGTATCCAAGAAAGATATTAAAATTAAAGAAGCCATCCAAAGATTTAGGAGATTATTATTCTGAGGATATTGAGTTGGAGTTAGTAGAAGTAATGATACATTTCAAGAATTTCATTTCAAAGTTAGAAGCATCTTGTGAAACTGCATTGTAATCAATTCATGCAAACTTATTTTTTTTAAATATGGCGCAAACATGGTTCCCAAATGTCGTGATAGAATTAAAAATGTATAGGTGTCTAATGATCACAAACACTACTGGCGAATTAACCATTTCCAATTTACAGTAGTCTGATGTGATAATTATTATATGTCCTTACTTGGAAGGATTGAAGAATCAGAGAAAGTGAAGAAGCTGTGCTTCTTTCTAATTGTGTCAGTGAATAACTAACCAGAAAGTGTGAAACAAAAACTTCAAAGAGATTTTTCATAAGTCAGTGGTCATACTTTACACAAGGTTGACTTGCAACAAAATCGAAGGATATATTGAAAAGTGCCAACAATGGTCTCATCGGCCATCTGCGCACCCAAAGCAAAGTTCACAATCAGCATATACAAAGATTAAGATGCTCATGGTTGATTTTGACTGAGGAAACTAATATTAAAAAGTTAATTAGCGAGGAAGGCTCCCAAAATTTGGACCACCTAAGGGCTTTGGACCACCTAAGAGCTTTGGACCACCTAAGGGCTTTGGACCACCTAAGGGCTTTGGACCACCTAAGGGCTTTGGACCACCTAAGGGCTGTGCAGGTTTCATCTGGCACTGGATAGAAGTAGAGCAAAAAAAGAAGTATTAAGTGTCAATAAATATGGTAACAATTTTTTTTTTTACCTACACTAGGAAATAACTGGTGTTTTTGGGGGTAAAATATAAATATATTTTTTTTCACATGAGTGTTTTTAGCTGAAATATTAATATGGCAACAAAAGTTTTTTCCCCTTGAGTTGGGGATTTACCAAGCCTTAAATAGAATACCTCATGTCCTATTGATAGTCAGGATTAAGTGGCAAATAAAACCTTGGGGATTGTTTTTTTTCACACCCTGAAAGTCAAACGGTCCACAGTGTTTGGACAGTGCCTTATTTCATAGTGATGCATTATACATCATGAAAGGTCATACCTTTATTTATAACCATCATAATTTTATTTGACAAACAAATTAAAAGTCAAGTAAAATGATAAATATTCCAGACTTTTTTTTTTTTTTTTTTGTTCCATTAAAAAAAAAAAATTACAAGGAATTTTTTTTTTTTTTTTTTGTTCCATTAAAAAAAAAAAATTACAAGGAATGTTTTGTTTACCACAACCATTTTGAAAATAATTCCTTTGTGTTGATTCCCAATGTTAATCGTAGACCAATATTTCTGTAACAAAAATAACAGCACAATTAACTGTACTCTTGGCTACAGTAAAATGTCTGAGATAGCTTGGCATAAACACTGGACTCATCTTTCTATGAGTCTAACTGTTTCAAACAATACAGTGCTCAGATTTTCTCAGCAACTGCAGTAAGAAACTGGATAAACAGATGGTTTCAAGTTTGTGTAGAGAGCTTAAAGCTGCATTACCCTGTTTATTTCATTTTAGTTTAGTCATTTAGAAAAAGTTAAACCATCAAGTAAGAAAGTGTATATATCATAATCAATCACGTAACACAGGCTTTAGCAGATCACAACTATATCAACAAATGTAATAAAACCCAAAGCTTAAAAATATGTTTTACAAGATTGGGCTTGGAAATATTACTGACAATTTCAAATTATCTGCAGAGTTCACAATTGGGGAATATAAATTTTGATTTTAAAAACAAATATTTAGAGAAAAATATTTTTATGCGAAGGTTATTTTTATGCTTTGCTTTTGATTCTCTTTGGTGCTAAATATTCTTTGTGATCTGAATCATCAGGGTCACCCTCGTGATCACTTTCTTCTGTGCTCAGTGGGTCAAATCCTTTGTGCGAGTTGCCCATAATTCCCTGGAGATTAAACACCCTGGGCTTGTTTCCATGTCCATAGCATTTCAACTTTCCTGTAAATGTGGGTAAATTACAATTAGTTGATTGATTTTTTCCTTTAAGGATACTATTCATTCAAAAATCATGTGGAAATTTTATGAAAAGTCAATGTGCATTTTTTGTGTGTCCAGAAGCAGCAGATTGTAAAAAGAATATTTTTAAGATTGTATTTACAAAAGCAAAAATAAGAGTCTTCTTTTACTTTAATTATCATTTTTTTTTTAAACACAAAAAATAAGTAGAAACACAGTCATCTGAGTTTTAATGGCCACTGTAACCATTTCAAATGTCTTTTATTTTTATAATAGTACATTTAATGTCTTCTAAACCTCCCCAAGACTTTCAAATAAACACTTGAAAAGTTTTTCTTAAAATAAATATGGAGTTTCTTTATTTCCCATTGCAGCTAGTATTCAGATGGTTTTAAATAATAATTTAAAAATAAAAAAAAACAACCCACAATTATCTACGAATTTGTCCTTCTTTAGGAGTGCAATCTTTATTTTTTTTGTATGCATACTACATAATGTTATTTAAACTTATTATTTTCACTTTTTCGTTGCAGCTATCATAACAACAAATATTTATCCTGGAAGTCACACCTCAAAATCTCTACAACTAACAGGAGTGAATAAATTATGTTCCCTGCCTTTTATTAAAAGAGTTATAAAACTCTTTCTCACCTGAATGATGGGCCCTGACCAGGAGAGTGATGACCAGCAGCAGGATAACGGGGATGACCAGCAGGATGCCAATGATGACTGAAGGTGTGAAATCACTGCTGCTATCTGAACTTCCATCTGAATATGTGCTATTAACACCTAAGTTACTTATTATGTCTGAAGACAACTTGGCTTCTCCAGAGTGGGCTTGTGTACTTTCCTCTGAAATATTTGAAGAAAAAAATACAATAAATATCAAAATGATTATGCGATGGAAGACAGAGATTCAGCAAAACTAAGCAATAATTAACAAGGTGCTGACTATGGCTGCTTTAAAAAACCATGCATCTAGAGATAGTTTTTAAACTGAAGCTGAAAGTTTGAAGAAAAAAAATCGTCGTTTATGAATATTGTACTTAGGTCAATGAAGATCAATTAAAGAACTCAGAAAACAACTAAATCTCACACTTTGAGAAGCTCAGTCCCAGATAACTCACCCTGTATGACAGCTGGTCTCATTGGTTAGGCAGGAGATAATCTAGACAATTCATCCTGTATAACAACAGGTCTCATTGGTTGGCCAGGAGATAATCTAGACAACTCACCCTATATAACAGCTGGTCTCATTGGTTGGGCAGGAGATAATATGGACAACTCACCCTGTATAACAACTGGTCTCACAGGTTGCGCAGGAGATAATCTAGACAACTTCCAGACTGCTGTAGGATTCAGCTCACCAATGTAGACTGAGTGACTGGCTGGGTGCACACAGACATCATGGGGGTTCTTCAGATGCTGGAGGGAAGAATTATGTCAAAATGTGGATTCCTTTTAAACTTTTTTGATTCCTTTTAAATTGGATACTTTTTAAAACAACATTTGTTGGCATTATTTATTTTTATGTCCTATTGATGAAAACATAATTGCTCTTTGTGAATCAGTTTTTAGGTCAACACTGATGAGGGGATACCCGCCTGTTCATTTTTTACATTCAAGTTCACGAGGCTAGACCCAGTCTTCGTTGTAAGGACATCTCTAAATTTTATTAGAAGAATCCATCAGCTTGTGAACAATGTAATAAGACAACATAACTGCTAATGTCTTTACCTCAGGCACATTCCACATCTCCAACAAATCACCAGTATTGATGTCCATTGTGAAGCCTTGAACTGAGAAGTCAGATGGCCCATCATAGGCAGGGCCATTAACAGCATATAGAATACCCCCTACAACAAAAAACATATGTTCAGTAATGGTTGGCTCTTTATAGACATATGATCTCCACTGTGTGGACACTCTTGACAGTGGATTCAAAACTTTATCTTACCACTGACTGACACACACATGCCACCTCAACCCATCCCCAAACCAGAAATACACAACTAAATATACCAAGAGCAGATGAAATAGTTACGTTATTTTTTTTTAAAACTAAAAGCTGACCATGTTCTGGGCACTGCTCGATGGCAAACAGGCGAGGGCCGAACTGCAGGTGTTTAATCATGTGTTTAAAGTTTCCATCCAGATCAAAGCACTGCACACGTCCATTCTCTCTGTCTGCTACACAGACCAGATTATTCTCTTCTGACACAGTAATGCTGTGAGGGATGTCAAACACACCCACAGGGGGCGCTGGTGCTGGACACGGATAAATAATTTTTGATTAATTTAAAAAAAAATGATTTAAGACATTATTGAAAAAAACCAACTAGGCTGTAATTTAAATAGGGATACAAGATTGATATCTGAGAGCATTATTTTAAAATAAAATTTTGTCCTATACATTACCGATTAATTCAAAATTTATATTGCTACCTTTAAAAAGATGTGAAAATAGATTTAAAAATTATTTATAAAGAGCACAGCTTCAGTTCATTTTTGTTTCCAGCAGTTTTTCAAAATTGTACAGAACTGCTATTGTCTTGCAATTTAAAAAAAAAAATTTCCTTTTAAGTCAAAGGAAACGTTAAAGGTTCGCAAAGATCACTCACAAAAACCTAAATTTCTCTGTCCAAATGCCTTGAGGAGCTGACCATCTTTTGAGAATTTTAATACTCTACTGTTGCAGTATCTGTTTTAAAAAAAATTACAGATTAAAAAATTATCAAACTGACATACTACCTAAGTTGAATAACAGGTACCCGGTATCCCAAAAAATAAAATTACAGGTGCAATACAATCAATAAAAAAAAAAAAAAAAAAAAGAAATAGTTATACTAAGAATTAACAGTAAGAGTTATTATTTAAATTGAGAAAAAAATATAAAAAATTACAGATTAAAAAATTATCAAAATGACATACTACCTAAGTTGAAAAACAGGTACCCGGTAAACCAAAAAAAAAAAATAAAGGTGCAAAACAATCAATAAAAAAAAAAAAAAAAAAAAAGAAATAGTTATACTAAGAATTAACAGTAAGAGTTATTATTTAAATTGAGAAAAAAATATTGGTGCGTTAGTATTTTAGTCTTCAAAATGGAACACTCTTGTGTACAGTACTTTTTAAATACTAAAATTATATGTCCAAGTTGGTACATTCCTAAATATTCAATTATTTTTTTTATTAGTATGCTTGCATATCTGTAAATATTTTAAATAGATTTTGGGCACTATATGTAATATCCAGGATTAAATGCATGGACCTACCCATCAGATACAAAGAAATCCCCGTTGGAAACAACAGCCACATCTGTGGGCTTACAGAAACAGGTCAGGTTTTCACTATGCTGGAATCTGTGACCCAGAGTCAGAGTTGGTTTGGTTTCACCCGCTGGTATTTTAAAAACCTAAGCATTTATAAAAGAAATAGTTTTACATTTTCATTCTTCTTACACTTAAATACATCTACAAAAATAATATATATTTGTTTAAATTATTAAATTAATCCCATTATAATTTTTTAAAAATGTACTAGACCTAGTTTTCTAAACTGTTACCTGATGAAGTGCAACATCTGTAAGCCACAGATTGCCTTGATTATCAACTTCAATGCCATGAGGCATGAAATACCTGTCATTGGAAAACAAAATTACAGATATTTGGCACCACATTTTTTTAAACAAAGTTTAACGAAAGCTTCACATATATGCGTTATGTGTATCAAACATTTGTTCCATCGCTGAGTGAGTAAAAAATTATCGGTAGTAGTTAGTGCCAATCTTAGTTTTGAAGATGATTAAATACATGTGGCAAACTGTGCTGCTGCTACTGAATTTCTTTGTTTGAAAATCTTAAAACCACTCTTAAAATGAGGTTTTACAACATATAATGGCTCATTTTTGCATTTGATAAATTATTAAAAATGTCTTACATTTAAATTGAACTAGTTAAAAAAATTACTTTAATCAGACTGTTTATCCATATACTAAAAATACACATGAACAACATAATCAAAACACATTTTCCATTTATTTGGATCAGTATATAAGAATCTTATCTTATTTTATGTTATCATATTTTTTTTTATTACACAAGGGCTCAATGGCTCAAGGAGCTGGTGTTCAAACCTAAGGTCATATCTTTATAAAAAGACTAACTTAGAAAATGTTAATTCTTATGCAAATTACATATTTTGCTAAGATCCCCCCTTTTGATTATAAAGTAAACACCATAAAAGCACCACTTACTGGCCTGCACCAAATTTCCGCACCAGTCTCCCTGCGCTATCTAAAATAACAATAACGTCCTCAGGAATTGGTGAATCTTGGTATTGAAAGTTGTTATCATAAGAAAATGACCTGTTGAAAACAATGTAAAAAATGGTAAGCTTAATCGTTACATTAAAACTTTTAATCTAAGCAAAAATTTATTCAAACATAATCTTGTGATCAAAAGGAAAAACAAGTCAATAGAAAAGATAGAAAATGTGTCCTAAAAATATGTCATGCTCAGACATTTCTCTATAAAATGTTGACCTAACTGTAACACACCTACTCTGACATGGCGTGGGATCTTATTTCTTATGCTGTAGGTTATGTCAGTAGTATGGTTACTTATGTTATGTTGATATTTCAGGATGCCGACTAAGGCTTCTTCATTCTTCCACTTATAATCCGGGCACGCAAATAAGAATACTGAATCCTGGTTAAACTTACAGTACTTTATTGAACACACTTTATATTGATAATATTAATATATAATCCTTGCATGAATGTAATTTCACATATATATCTATAGTATTCCATCATTAAGAAAGACACGTCCTCACACTAAACTGTCAACTGTCTAATCACACAGCTCTCACGCTACTGACTCTCCTGCTCTGCGCTCAGCTCTCTACTATATCAGTCAACTCATACTTTATTACCAGCAAAGCGTGCAAAACAACCGCTCTGACAAAAACATAATTTTACTCTCCAAAAACGTGGAGCTCACATTTGTATCTCAAAATACAATTCATTGTCCTCGTGGACAAAAACATGGTCAACACCATTCATTGTTCACTCATGCTACCTCTCTGTTTTCATGTGAAAACATTGTCCGTTACATGCCCCACCCATCTGAAAAAATTTTGTGCAACAAAATTTTTGGCATTATATGTTGAAATAATGATAATGTCTCTTAGAAAATTTCAATGCCACATCTAACAATCAAATCAGTGTAACAACATTAACATTTCATCATTATGAAATACAGGGCCTTTTACTAGTGAATAATTTACCCTGGCAAAAAATTACAAAATCACCAATGACAACCTCTTAAAATCTTTATGTATGATAATGTGAAGTGACATTGACATCTTAATGAATAATAAACACTGCAAAATGAATGTAACAATCTTAAATTTTGCATTAGAAAATTTACAATTGGTTAAAATCTGATATTCATTTACAAAAATTGATATGTACAAGTGTCTTATCAAAAAACTGAGTGAACGTATGTGTGTATATTCATTTAGAATGTCTGACTAATGTGTCTTAAGTCAGTGTCTTTGTCATTGTCTGCATGTTCAATGTGTCTGGAAAGGAAATCAGCTACTGTATTGTCTTTTCCTTTTATTGTCCTTATCTCATACTGATAATCTAATAGTATCAACGACCATCTGTTTATTTTACTGTTTGCTATCTTCTTTCTATTTAGTGCCATTAATGGCTTGTGATCAGTCAATAATATAAATTTTCTGCCCAATAGATATTTCTGTAGTTTGGTAAGTGCCCACACAATTGCTAAGCATTCTTTTTCAATAGTTGAGTAGTTAATTTCAGTTCTGCTTAGTGCTCTACTTAAATAGGTAATTGGTCTTAATTTATGATTGTATTCTTGCATAAGGCAAGCTCCTAATCCAATGTTGGAGGCGTCTGTAACTAGAGTGAAAGACTGTTTAAAATTGGGTGATAACAATATGTTGTCACTTTGGAAAATTTCTTTGATTGTTCTCAGTGTATTTTCGCATTCATCCGTCCATACTATTTGTTTCTTGCTATCTTTATTTATTAGTTTCCTTAAGGGTAGTGTAACATCAGAAAATTTTGGAACAAAAGTGCTGTAAAAATTGCACAAACCTAAAATGGCTTTTACTTCTTTCTGAGTGTGTGGTGTTTTTATATTTAGTATTTTTCCTCTGTTGTGTTCTGTGGGCTGAATTGTGTTCTTACCGACTTTAAATCCTAAAAATTCAATGTCCTCTTGTGCAAACTTTAATTTGTTTGGTGCTATTGTAACTCCATGTGCTCTTAATTTGTTTAGTACTGTTTTTATAGTCTCTATATGTGTCTTCATATCCTTAGTGTGAATGCAGATATCATCGACAAAATGTACTACATTTGGTATGCCTTCTAACATGATTCGCATGAATCGAGAAAATGTTGCGGTGGAATTAACTAGACCAAATGGCATTACTGTCCATTCGAACAAGCCTTCCTCTGTGGCAAATGCAGTCAAAGGCATGGAATCCGGATGCATGCCTATTTGCCAGAATCCTCTGTTTAAATCTAAGTGGGTGAATAATGTGGAGGAGCCTATTTCTTCCAGTAGTTCTCTGGTGTCCCTCATGGGTTCTGCATCTAATTGTGTGATTTTATTTAACTCCCTATAGTCACAACATATACGGCACTGGCCATTTTTCTTTTTTACTACTACCATGGGTGATGCTATTGGTGAATCTGATCTTTTAATCTTGTTAGTCTGTATTAAATGATTTAGTTCTTTCTTTACTTCTTCCCTAAATGCATATGGAATTGGATAGATTTTGTGTTTGAATGTGGGTTCCTGTGTTAATATTATCTTGTGTTCTAAACTGCTAGTGTGTCCTATGTTCTCTGTGATGACATCTTTGTATTCTTTTAGAATTGTTGTTAAGTGTCTGTTTGTTGTGGTGTTATTTTCATTGTCTTCTAATTGTATAACACTAGCAACGGTGGCTGTGCTACTTATTTCATTACTGATGGTTTCTAACTCTTCAGGAACAGAGTCATATTTTCTGAGCAAGTCCACATGTAGGACTTTCAATTCACCCTTCATGTGAATTACATAATCAACTAAATTTAACTTGTCATGAATTGTAAACGGACCCTGCCAAATCTTTTGTCCATTATTGTTTGGCAACCATACCAAAACTTTATCATGTACTTTAAGATCTCTGAGGTATCTATGTGTATTCTTTATATGTCTTTGTCTTTTAGACTCCCTATCAGTGTTTTCTTTAGCATTTTCTATGCCATATGTAATCCTCTCTCTAATTTTTGTAATTATGTCAAATGTGTCTTGTTGTGTGCCTTTCTGGCCTAAAATATTTTCTTTAAAAAGAGTTAACGGTCCCTTTGGATTGGCCCCAAACATTAGCTCAAATGGAGAGTACCCAGTGGTGTCTTGTATACTCTCTCTATAGGCGAATAAAACCATGGGTATATATAGGTGCCATTCTCTAGGGTGGTCTATTGTTGTTTTATTTAACATTGTTTTTAGTGTTTTGTTCCATCGTTCTACCATACCATTAGCCTGTGGTCTATATATTGTGGAATGTACTTGTATTATACCTAGCATTTTTGTAACTGCATTGGTTAAGTTGGAAGTAAACTGTGTTCCATTATCTGACAATATTTTATCAGGGAATCCATGTCTTGTAAATACATCTAATAATGCCATGCAAATTGTTTCTGAATTAATGTTTTTGAGGGGAATTGCCTCTGGCCATCTAGATGCCATATCAATCATGGTTAAAATAAATTTGTGTCCCTTATTTGATGGTGGATTAAGAGGACCAATGATATCTATAGCTACCTTCTCAAAGTTTCTACCTATTTTGTCTGTGGGTTGTATGGGTGCTCTGTGTTTACTGTGTATTGGGTTTTTTGTCAGACATGGTATGCATTTGTTTATGTGTTTCTTTATGTCCTTGTGTATGCCTGGCCAATAAAAATTCTGTGTGACCCTCTCTAATGTTTTTTTTATACCCATGTGTCCAGCCAAAGGACTGTCATGTGCATGGTTGAGTATTTTGTTTCTGAGTATTACTGGTACTACTATTTGAGATTTTTTGATTTCACCTTTCTCAAAATTTCTAATTAGAATATTGTGTTTTATTGTGTAATTATGTCCTCTATAAATTGTGTTATTGTCCTTAATTTTGTTTCTAATGTCCTGAATTTGCCTATCTTCTGTCTGCATTCTAATTATGTCCTCTCTAGATATTTGTTTTGGAATGTCTAATTTTTCTTCTATTTCAGGCTGTGTCTGACTAGTTTTATGTTGTTGTCTTGTTATTGCACTTATATACTCTTTGGTTAAATTTTTTGATTCAATCCAATTTAAGAATAGTTCTTGGGAATTATCTGGAATTTCTTTAATATTTCCAATTATTAACTGACATACTGGGTTGTCCATAAGTACTGCCGTTACCTTTCCTGTCAACCATGGACAGTCTATGTCCACTACTGCTTTATAACATTCAACTTTTGTGTTATTTGCTAACATGACTGTGGTTTTTTCAGATATATGGTCTTTAGGATCAATCAATTTTTTGTCAACTACTATTGTTGTACAACCTGTGTCTCTTAGACACTGAACAAGCTGGTTGTTTACATAAGAAGGAAAAAATTGTAAACTTCCTTCACTGTGACATGCGCTAGCTAAAGTTTCATGTGGTTTGGTGTTTTGTCTACTGTTAGTCTGATTGGAATTATATCTTTGATTTTTATATGGTTGTCTACTCCTATTTGCACTGTTGTATCTAATTGGACTACTGTTGGGTGATGTTCTCTGATAGTATTGTTGTGAATGTCCTAAATCTCTATGTAATTTCCTACACTCATATTTTTTGTGACCTGGAATGCCACAGTAGAAACATTTGTTGTTGTTTGAATAATTAGTATATGGTGTCTGGTAATTGTTTTGATGACTTTTCTGAAATTTATTGTTTTGCCATCTGGCAGGTAGGCTGTGGTATCTTCTGTTTTGATATGTGTTTTGTTTTTGACTGTCCCTATCACTGGGTGTGTTTCTAATAGAGGCTAGTGTGCTGTTTCTATTGTCTAGCTCTTCATTGGGGTGAGCATCTTTAAATGTTGTGATTGAGTCAACTAACTCACGCTCATTTTTAATCTTTCTCTCTTTAAGGAATGAAAATAAAGAGACTGATGCATTTCTTAATATTTTGTCTATGATAAACATATCCAGTAATGCTTTTGGATCATTTAGGTCAATTTCAGTTAATTCAAGCCATTTGACAAGATTGTCTCTAATATTGAATATGGTGGTGTTAGGATCTACTTCTCTCTCTAGTCTTATGTTATGGAAATTTTTTCTATAAATGTCTTCTGTGTTTCCATAGAACTTTAACAAAACTTTCTTTATATAGGTATAATTATTCTTTTGTTCTTCACTAAGTGAATTAATAATACTTAGGCTTTTCCCTGATAGTCTGCTCAATAAAATATTAGCCCAAGTCTCTTCTCTATAATTGTAAGACTGACATATGCCCTCAAATTGTGACAGATAACTAATAATTTCTTCTTTATGTTCATTAAATTCTCTAAATTTAGGTTTGTATGTACTATTGGTTTCCCTATTGCTTGTTGATGTAGTATGCTGTCCTGATTCTATCCTAGCTCTTTCTAGTTTTAGCTCTTCCTCTCTTATTTTCATATCTTGTTCCCTTAATTTAAGTTCTTCTATTTCCTTTTGTCCTTTTAATTTTAGTTCTTCTATTTGTTTAAGATCGTTTCTCTCTAACATTCTAGCTTCTCGGTCTTTGTCTTTGTCTTGTCGGTCTTTGTCTTTGTCTTGTCGGTCTTTGTCTTCTTTCTGTCTTTGACTATCTCTCTCCTTGTCTCTTTCCTGTTTGTTCCGTATTTTGTCCATCTCCCTAGTTACGAAGTCAGTTAAATTCTCCTGCTTCAAACCAAGCTTCTCACCTACTTCTAATAATTCCAAGTACTCTGCCATTTTTTATGTGTAATGTGAGTAACTAAAATTATATTGTTATGTATCAGTATATCAGTTATCTCCTTATTCTTTGGTTATCAATTAAAATAGTTTACGATATTTCATATATCTACATGTTAATGAATGTATACACAAATGCAAGTTGATACATGAATTATAAGTTATAAATAAGTGTAAGAAAAATTTAAAATAATTAAATTGTCTACTTCACAACATAAATACAGATATGTAGACGTTTACATGAATACAAATGAGACAACAAATACAAAAGTACTGTTTAGTTTATGGACCACAAGATAGTAGAAAATATGACAGTAGGTTGACAATATGTATAACAATGACAAGACAAATAGCACAAATATGACAAGATCTACTAAAAAACAACAGTTATGACAATGTACAAACTAGACTTCACAGCTAACACAAAATTATCCTACAGTGTTATAAATAGGGCCAGAAGAAACCTTTACCGTTTTAATAAAAAAACTTCCCTAGGAAAGATAACACCGTGGATGTCCCTACAGTATACTCTAAAATTAAACTTATATTATACAGAAAAAGTAAAAAATTTACTTAATCTAATTAAGTATGATATAAGTAGATTTTTAAAGTCTTAAATTATATATAATACATAACACATAAATACATAAATACCAAGTGTTTAAAAGAAATCCGTAGTTGGTCACCTCTGCTCCTCTGTGACGCTCTGATTTCTGTGTAATCGATAATCCTATGTAGTAGATGCTCCTTCTAGGTAGTAGATAATCCTATGTGGTAGTGTACTTGGGTAAAATAATCCAATGAGAAAAGTTACACCACAAATTGCTGCAATACTCCAATGTAAGTACCTTGCGTAATAGTGTAATTGTGATAATCCAATAATTGAAAATTGTCTAATTTCTCTCCGGTTCTGTTGCACTTGTGAGTAATTGAAGAATTACTTGAAGAATTACTTGACTTGCACTGTGCGGCTTGTATAAAGTAAAGATTATGCTGGGGAAATCTTACTTCCGCTGTCTTGATAAAACATCTCATCTGTAATGACATCAGACTTCTTTTGGTTTTGTGTGGATCATCTCTTTCGTTGACTAATAACTGTAAAATAGATTTCTTGCTGTTTCTTCCACGAGAATATTCACTCCACTGTTATATAATTGAAACAGTGTACCAGTTAGCTGTTTGCACTCTGAACTTTTGACTCCCGTGACTGACCTAAATTCAATCGTTGTCAGCTTGCTCTGTGTGTCGTGGACTCTTCTCAGATTTGACTCATACACGGGCGTAATGACTTTCGATGTATGCTTCACTCGACTGTTAAAATATATCGTTGTTACTCAATGTTCTGTAATACATCGTTGTTCTGACACTTCTGACCATTTGTAACGCATCGTCGTTACACCGCTTCTGACACCATTTGTAACACACCTACTCTGACATGGCGTGGGATCTTATTTCTTATGCTGTAGGTTATGTCAGTAGTATGGTTACTTATGTTATGTTGATATTTCAGGATGCCGACTAAGGCTTCTTCATTCTTCCACTTATAATCCGGGCACGCAAATAAGAATACTGAATCCTGGTTAAACTTACAGTACTTTATTGAACACACTTTATATTGATAATATTAATATATAATCCTTGCATGAATGTAATTTCACATATATATCTATAGTATTCCATCATTAAGAAAGACACGTCCTCACACTAAACTGTCAACTGTCTAATCACACAGCTCTCACGCTACTGACTCTCCTGCTCTGCGCTCAGCTCTCTACTATATCAGTCAACTCATACTTTATTACCAGCAAAGCGTGCAAAACAACCGCTCTGACAAAAACATAATTTTACTCTCCAAAAACGTGGAGCTCACATTTGTATCTCAAAATACAATTCATTGTCCTCGTGGACAAAAACANCTCTACTGCTCTGCGCTCAGCTCTCTACTATCTCAGTCAACTCATACTTTATTACCAGCAAAGCGTGCAAAACAACCGCTCTGACAAAAACATAATTTTACTCTCCAAAAACGTGGAGCTCACATTTGTATCTCAAAATACAATTCATTGTCCTCGTGGACAAAAACATGGTCAACACCATTATTTGTTCACTCATGCTACCTCTCTGTTTTCATGTGAAAACATTGTCCGTTACACTAACATCTATGATATTTTACTAACTGTGCAGTCCATGTCCTTGAACCTCTGTGGAAAATGTACACATTTCCATCTCTGTCGGCTGCCACGCCCCCAATCTGACCCAATTCAACTTTCTGCTCTGGCCAAGTTGAATTGAAAATAAGATTGTGATCAAAGTGGATGCCTGCAGAAAACAAATGATGACATTACTGATAATGCAGAAACTGACACTTAATGATCAAATACACAAAATATTATATGAGATTTACCAATAGCCATTTTTGACAAAATGCTAGTTATTGCAAGTAAAAACAATTAACCAATTCCAATAAATGTGCATATAATTAGTTTGCCATTATCTGGAATTTATTTCATGTAAACAAGTAGCGTGGCTTGGATTAAGTACTATTATTATGTTGGCAAGCAGCAAATATATACATAAAAATGAAACTCGACATTCACTTAGCATGCCATGCTTATTTCATTTGTTTGTTTGAAGGGGTTCAATAATCTAATCAAGATGAAATTCATCAGTTTATTTCACCAATAAAAAAAACCTTAAACCCTTAATGTTATCTTAAAATGATATGTGCTTGAGTTATCATTTGAAATAAATTATAGCTGCAAGCACCATTAAATGATTATCAACAATTGAAATATGTTCATTTGTCCGCACACATTTTATGAGCCATTCTCAAAGTTAAATTAAAGAAAAACATCAAATTCAATCAGAGGAGTAAAACTCAAACATGCACATACAATGGTAATCTAGTTTCTACATACATCAAAATTACTGACTCAGACATAAATCTAGTAAAAAAAAATATATGAATAATGAAATAACTATCATAAAATGTGATGCTCCATCATGTCAAGAGCTTCTATTTCTAGCAAGTACAATTTAAGAACAAAAATTGCATTTTAATATGATAAATACAGGTAAAACCAGCTGTGTGCCCTTCTTAATTTTTAAACGTTAGTATCTTGAAGTCAGAAATCTTAAATAAACACCATACAATGAAAGAAAACAACATAACCACAACAATCTATAGGCATGTTTTTGATCACCTTGTCAACAAATAAAACTCACTCAAAAAAAAAACAAACAAAAAAACAACAACTCAGTAAAGTAATGGACGTTACAAAAAATAAACTTAAATGACAAAGGCACAACAATTTAAAATACTTATGTTATAATTTCCTCATTTCTTCTATGATCCATCCCTACTTTCTTGAAATATTTCATCTTAGCTCCAATGACAAAGAAAGTTATTAATGATTTGTAGCTTAAGGTTACTAATCATTTATTAAACTGATTGACATGTTTATGCCCTTTAACAAAATCGCAAACTTAAAAAACTCAAGCCAAGAGCAAATAAAATAAAAATGTCATCCACAAAACTCAATATAAAACATGTAAGATGACAATAACAGCAAAAAATATAGTCTTTGAAAATACAAATATACTTTAAATAGCAGTTTGGTTTTTTTGGGTAGTGAATAATGCACTTCTTTCTTCTCCTTATTGCATTATTTGACCAACCATTTGAGGGAAACCCAGTGATGATAATACAAAATATGTCAATTTACAAGAGAAAAGAGTAAAATACTTTAATGATGGAAGGTGCACATGCAGTTGTTAGCATCAGATTTGAAATCCCTACTTATCAGTGTACCTGTGCATTGTGTGTGTCTGTGGTCATGGTGGTATTTTTTTCTTCTTCTTTTTTGTGGATGTGAGGGGGATGTGGTTGGTGGGTGGTTGAAAGAAGAAAACATCAATAATGCAAGTGCAGGTAACATACTACTGTATTACTACAAAAAATAAAAAAAATAAAAAAATATAGATAATTACGGATAACCATTTGGTCTGGTCATGCCAATTGAAGCTGATCAACACACAGCTTTTATATATCACACCAAAGTTACAATATCCAACATGAGCAAAACAAGCTTTCAACTCACTGCTGTGGACCTTAACCGCTTCCCTACTGGCCTGCTGGCCAGCGGCCCCAACCCCAGGAGGTGCCAGCTTTCTTGGTGCCGAGTTCTGGGGGTCGGCGGCCGCCACAGTATGCTGCTGCTGGGCTGGTGCCAGGGGCTGGTCAGGTGGCTGTTGGGTTTGAATGAATTTGCCTGGAGGGTTTTTACGTGGGAAATGTCGCAGTTCTTGATTGATAGCTTCAAATTCCTTGTTGCGGTTGCGACTGAGCCCTTCTTCTGCTGCATTGGCAGTGCCATAAAGACCTTTCTCTCTGAGGTCATTGGCAGCATAATCATCGTAGTACTCATGGGCTTGCCTCTTGTGCCTGGAATTATGAGCTTGGGACCAGTCATGGTAGTCATAATCAAAGTGCCTTAGCTTTTTCTGCCTGATCCGGTATCTGTGGGATGGTCTGTGATTCTCTCTGTGATGTTTCCTCAATTTTGCTAAAGAAATTAAAGCCATTTTTTGTTGTTGTTTCTTTCATCATTCAAAGATAAAACCCTGATAACTACAGAAATCATAGATTTCCTGGCCTGCAAGTAAATCAAAGATCCAGCAAAGAGATTTGCCTGAGGGCCAAGTGAAGATTCTTATAACAACTCAGTAGCAGAAGTGACATTATGCTTTTATTAAAGGGCCATCCATATAGCATGTAAGCAAGAAAGTCAAATTTTCAAACCACCCCCCCCCCCTGCACTCCTTTTTTGATTAACTCTTCATGAGTACGTACAATGAGCCTTGACCCCCACCCCAAAAAAAAATCTAATAATCTTTATATTATTTCCCAGTAAACAAAACGTGTCACAGGTTTTCAGAATACACCCCGCATCACCATGAGTTCCCTTTGCCCTCGGGCAGGGCCATGAGAATGGGGAGAAGAGCAATGGGGGCCAAAATCAGGGGGTGCCAAAATTATCTTTAGATAAGACCTTAATTTTTAATTGAACTATAAAATCCCATACACTTCACAATGACAAGGGGAGCTAAAAATGGTCCTTTTACTGGTCCGCAGGAGGGGGGGGGGTTGCATATTTTCTATATGGGTTGCTACAGCCCCCTCACGGTCATTGCAAAACAAAACATTACACAATTTTTATTCATCCCTTTAAATACAATGTAATATCTAGGGGTCGTTATGCAAACAGTAACCCCCTTGAGTAACTACTGTTTGCAGTTATTAGATGAAGCTTACTGACCTTCATACATTTTATAGTTTTTTTTACCCGACCCTTTATTTTTTTGTGTGTATGTATTCGCTATTTTGAAGTGTATTTGTTAGAATTTAACACAAGGAGGCTGGTGAATACCTAAATTTGGCATAAGCGCCGGAAATTGAAAAGTTTAGGAACCATTGGCATAACCCAAACAAAATATACATGACATGCACAATAAATTTACTCATGGTGGGCTAAATAATACTGTTATACCTCTACTACTGAGTACCATCTGAGCATAACTAGCGAGTTCATTTGTAAAAAATACCATGCAAAATTATGACGATAAATCTTACAAAACATTGCGTTATATTTTTACAGAATTTGTGATATAAATATGCTATTTTTGGACTTGAGCTTTTCAGGACAATTCTTGTAGAATTTTGAATAAACGTACAATACTTTCTGCCAAGATCCCCCCCCCCACACACACACACACTCACACATAAGCAAAAATCTCCAAAATTGACAACCCTCTCCTCCCCCATTCAGTGCGTGTAACATTTGGACGGCCCCTAAGTTCCCTTGCAATTTTCTTAACATTCATAAATCCATGCCGGCAAAACTCATGTAATAAAACTCAGAATCGTTCTAAAAGTAAATACTAACAAATTTATCCTAAAAAAAAAAAAAAACCAACAAAAAAACAAAAACAATCCGACTCTTCAAGCATCTCTCAGGATTTGACTAGCCAATGCATACATTATTTGATGTAATGAAACTTATTTGGTCATAATAAAACTTGCTCTGCATCCTAAGTACTTGTAATTTATTTCAAAATACAATGCCTTTTAAGAAATAAGATAGAAATGGCAGGTCTCTCAATAGAACTGAACCTTTCTGTTTCTCTCAATAGAACTGAACCTTTCTGTTTCTCTCAATAGAATTGAACCTTTCTGTGTCTGTCAATAGAATTGAACCATTATTACCAGCCCCACAAGCACTTACAAACTCAACATTTAGAAATTTAATGATTGTTAAGTTTTTTGCAAGCCACTTAATACTTCAGTGCCTTTCTTAGAAAAACATTTTAATTACCCAAACATGAATTCAAAAGTAATAGTGCACTAGAAGGAGAACCTTATAAAAACAGTCTGTCAGCCTTAATTATAATGAAAATAAATGTAATTAAAATAACTTGCCTTTCATCCCACTGTGATGCTGGGGGTGCTGTCCCTTTGCCTCCTCCTCCAGTTCAGGGTTGGGGGGTAGTGGCACACTTACATCTTTGGGGAAATTGTCACCAGTCAGTTCGGGGGCCAAGTTACCCAAGCACTTTCCATAAGGATCTAGTACAGAGCTGTCCGTGTAGAACATGATGTAGAAGTTGCACATCTCATCATTACCAGTAGATCTGAGAAATTTGAAGAAAAAACAAAAAATTAAACATGCACATTACACATTCATTGGTGTTTGTTCAAAGCTTAAATATCAACTCAATCAGGAAAAACATGCTTTGAAGGAAGTTGAAGTACATCAGTGACAAAAGTGTCTGAGGCTAATAAAATAAATATTTTATTAACTGTGTCTTAACACATTTTTTTTAAGGTTATAAGATTGCAAGAAAATGCTTTTTGAAAACCCAAAGTCCACAATTTGTAATTTTTGAGTTTGGCACAATTAATTGAATAATAAGTTCTAAAATCAATATTACATAAAATATCACAAGACAAAGTGATACTCTGTGTGTTAACAGTGTGGTGCAGTATTGGGACAGTAAGCACCATTATTAAAACTTGAAAACAAAAATGTTTATCAAAGAATTAAAATATACTTCTTAATGCCAATATTAAGTGGGTGGTTTCTTGGGTCTTAAGGTCACAGCCTTCAAAGAAACTGTTCGGACAACTTTTGACAAATTCGTTAAGCTTTTTGAAGCCTCATGGATAACTTGATTGTAAAAGTGTATGTTCTCCAAATAACTTCTTTTATGAGATTAGGTGGTATGTTTTTTAAAAAATTTTAGGACTTATGATTAGAAGCTAACTTTAAGTTAGTCTGCAAGCAAAATCTAATACTTACCCCACTTTAACAGAGCTGGTCATGGATGTTGAATCATAAGTACATCTGGCAGCCTGGGATGAACACACAAGTAATAATAGAGTGAATACAAAGGTAAGTAAGAGTACAAAATATCAGCTTTGAATAGTTATGGTTATAATAAGTTGAAATATAACGATTTTTCTTTGCAATCTTGGCATAGATTAAAATGAATTTAAACACACCAATTACATATTTGTTGGGGGGTTAAAATCACATAGCTACTTTCTATGCATATACAAGTAGTGAGTTAACATACAAGATATTCCCCAGGCTTGACCTCAATCTTGTCTTTGACAGGGTAAAATGCCTGCAAGGAAAAAATAACTCATTACATAATCATTATCTCCCTCCACTGTACTGGAAGTTCAAGGTATAAGATAATTTTGAGGGCTACTAAAAAGAATATTTTTAAAATTAAAAAAACAAATTTTGAGCCAAACAAATTCAATGAGAACTTGTAAGTACCTTCTACATTATATTTTTTAGCAGTTCCTAAAATTTAATTATTTTAATTAAATCTCTTTTACTTTTAGGGGTGAGAAGCATATTGAAGGGTTGTGCAAGACACAACATGCAGCAACACCTCAATACTTATTAATTGTCAATGAATTCAATGAACACTCTTAGGATGGAAAGAAGGAGTTTTTTTTATAGATTGGCATAAATACTAATGGACGCCTGAGAGCTGGATACAGACATCAAGCGTGAGTAACAATGGATATACAGAATTATGTGCAACTGATCTTCAGATAGATGGGAGATAATTCATTAAAAAATTCTGTCCCTGGCGTACAGCTGCATGGAAGGCTCTGCACCGGAATATCTTAAAGAACTGATTTATAAACATGTACCCTTAAAGAACCTGCGGTATTCAACACAGTCCTTACTGAAAATTCCCAGTGTGGATGAAAACAGAAAAAAGTTTTACGGAGTGCGCTCTTTTGAAGCGATAGTGCCAAAATTATGGAACAGTTTGCCTCAATCTTTGAGGGGAATTGAAAATGATAAAAAATCATTTAAAAAACATTTAAAACCTGTTCTGTTTAAATAGATTTAAGTAAATCAGGGCGCAGTGAGCATGCTAAAGTAGCATTGGATACCAGCTCTATATAAATATCCAATCAATCAATCAAAGATATAGATTTCTGGCTGGTTGTGCAAATCTCCAAGAAATCTAAAAATTATCTAGCAATTTTTTTCACTCTTCCAACTTGGTGAATATTTCAGAATATTATTATTTTGTAAATGCCATTTGTCGTTTTATTGTTTTGACATAGATACTACATTAAATTAAAAATAAAGAAGATCTACTAAAAATTTTGCACTGGTTAAAAAAAATATCATTAATTATTATAATATTATTCCAGTACTAGTTATAGCCCGCCGAACATTGGCAATAGCAATGCGTGAACTTCCCATGTACTAAAGTTACTTGACAAAAACGTGAACTCAGTTATGCACATTTAAGAATGCCAATTTTGCTACCCCTCCCCCCTCCCCTTTTCATGATACGTCACTGCACACTTTTTATTTCACGCCTATGAACTATATTAATATTCTCATGTTCTAACCACTTTTAAACCGAATATTTTTTACACAATACTTAAATTGAGACGATTTCATTTCCGAAAAGAAAATATTACGCACGAAACGCAATTGCGTTATTAAAAATATATATATATCATTTAGCATAGTTATCGGGAATTATGTTTTGCGCGCTAGTGAACTCATTATTGAAACAGACTCTGGCGTATCTATAAATAGCCTGCGTGGTGTTTGACCCGTCTTGTTTGACCTTTGCTGGCAAATTATATATATAGATACTAAAATCAGACAGTTTACAAGTGGTTTACAGACGGCATTCTTTGGCATCATTAATAAGAATATGAATTGCAAATAAATTCAGTGCATCCCCATTAGCTGGGATCAATGTAGATAAAAGTAAGTATGTCTCCTAATATGGTGAGGTCATACTGGTTAATGAGTTTAGTTAATTCTACTTAAAAACTAATAATAGTTTTTTTTATAATTGCAGTGTCACATTACAAAGCAAATACTTATATTTATATTAAATTGCAACACAAGTTAGTTAGTTAAAAAAATGCATTCCACACCTGTGGCCACTGAGGATTTCCCTTGCCAATCTCATGATAGGAACCATTGTACTGGTAGCCAGTGATGACACGACCTAGAATAACAGAGTTATTAGTGTTGTTTTCTACGCACTGTTAGTGATTTTTGTCACCATTTTCTACTAAACACAAGTTTCATTGTGCAGGCAAGCATACAACAGAAAGCTCATTTATTGATAACAGAAAGAAATTTATTCCCACTTTACTGTGCCACTTGGAAAAATGAACAAATGTATCACATAGGAGAAGATAGTGATCCAAACCCCTTTGTTGAGCTATAACAAATATAGGTTGAAGCCTCATTGTTACATAGTGCCAAAAAAAATCACTCTACTTCTTGTTAGAAAAAATAACATTTTGCATGTAAAGTATAATTTATTAAATCCCTCTGTAACAAAATTTACCATCATTCAAAGCCTAAAAATATTTACCCTGTCTAATAAGAAGTAGTTACATTTTGACAATAAAGAAATCACTAAGCCTCATTAAGCATACAATAATATTTGATGATCATTTGCGTTAGTTTTACAAGTTTACCAAAATAGATCATTTTTTTTAGCGCCAAGAGGAATTTTTCATTAAGTTGTACCATGAAATACAACTTTCCTTTTAAGCTCTTGTTTAAATATAACTACTCACTAGAATTATTTAATTTCTAGTATCTAGCTAGAAGCAGCTATACTAACTAGCTACAAGAACATAATTTCTTATATCTAGCTAAGAGCAGCTTGACTAACTACAATGACATCACCTCAAAGCTACGATTACAACACTACTTACCTAAGGCATGGGCGTGGGTCCTGTAAGCAAAAGGAAAAATACTTTTCTGCTTGTCAAACATACAGCTGACATCAACAGGATATGCTGGAATAAAATGTGTTGAATACAGACATCTCCATTAAATATTTGGTATCTCCCGATCTCTAATGAACGGGGGGGGTTGGATGTGAAATGTATAACAGGAAGGTAGATGGTCAAGAAGGGAGGTGGTATTGAGGGGGGAAGGGTGTTATGTGGAGAGGGTGTTGGAGGTTAAGGAGTTGGTAGGATAGGCGGGGATGGCGAGCAGGAGAGGATACTATGATTTATCTAGTTAGCACACTAAGTAGTTTTGCTAATTAAACCCTATTAATGTATAAACTTGTAGATTAATAAAGTTAACAATGAATTAGAAATGACATGTGGTTTGGAATCGGGCCAATTAAATACAGAAAAAATATTGAACTATCTGACTTAAATAATGCTACTTACCAGGAAATGCACTGGGAATTTCAAACATTGAAGCCATGAAATAGACACCAGCAACAAAAGGCTGCCTGTAATAATTGAAAAACATATATGAAAAAGACATGTTTCTTTACATTAAGAAAAAGAGAAATCTTTGCATGCTTATGTACGGTATGTATAGTTAGCATAACGTTGACTGACACTTAAAGAAAACAAAATTAGATTGAAACTTACTTGGTTTGTGTGGTATATATTTTAATCCCCGAATGATCTGGAGCTTCTTCATCTGAATACAAAGCAGTGCAATTATTACTTTTGGAGCAGGGCAATAGGGGAAAGCTGAGAAGCAGCGGTGGCTATTTTCTTACCAATGGGTACAAAAATAATTAATTCATAATTATAACAGTGATTATTCATCAATATAGTAATGTCTTCCCCATTGGCAAGAAAATGTACTAAAAGTTATATATTGAAACCTTAAAAATTTAATATCAGATGAAAATTAAAATGAAATGTGGAATTTACCTGAAAAACTCTTGGCATAATGTACCTGAAGCACCAGTGTCTTGATAATTGTGGTACTGCCTATTCTCAAACCAACATCTGTTAAAAGAACAGAATTAATGTATATTGTTTTTTTCAGTCTAGGCGTAGCTTGAGAGAGTGATGATACTCTCATGATTCAAAGTTCTTATAAAAAAAAAAAATTACAATTTAAAAAGAATTGATTAAATTTTATCTGAAATTATTGTCAAAATTACTTAGTAAATAAATTATCTTAATTTTGTTTAAAAGCAGTTCAATAACACTTTGAGATTAGTTAAATATTTTCAGAAGCTAAAAATTACATATTTTATTACTAATGAAATAAAGTTAGCTTGTTAACCTTTAGGTAATACTGTTGGTGGGGCATTTTTTGCCCATGCAAATAGGATAATTCCTTCAGTTGACTTGCACATTGCTGGACAGTTCCTGAATGGGAGAAATGATGACAAAACTGAACACTCACAATGTCATGATCACAAACAGTCTATCAAAAACCAATATTTCCTGGGTGTCAGAAATTGTTTGCTAAATCTGTTATATTGTGAGACTTGGTCTTGAATTCTACTAGTAACTGCATGAAGTGAAAACATCTCAATATTTGACCACTATCCTTAATAAACTAACTGTCTTTAATAAACTAACACAGAAAGTGCACTGTTGTTCGCATCCAAAGATGATCAAGGCAATTTTCAACTTGATTTGCCTTGAGCTGTATTTTATTTAAAGTGACGGAGACTTGTTCAATGCGTTAGCCTCACTCTCTCATCTTTCATATTTTTATCCAATTGCAAGACTTAGTCAAGACATAGAACAGGATGCAGAAGATAACTAGCAGTGTGTCTTGTGTGTTTCACTGTGCTCTTTATGCGTTCTATGTCACAGGAGTTGTTAGCATTTTCGTTGTGTGCTGATGATGTTTTTGCTTGTCTAGGCGTTTTCTGGGGATTGAACTCCAGTCCTGCGATGTAGAATGCATAAAGAACACAGTGAAAACACATAAGACACACTGCTGGTCATCTACTCACCATCATAATACTTGATGCAAGTACGGCTATCCAAATTTTAACACTTATTGAGTCCAGAGCTTGCTTTCCTAGTATAAACCAATTGTCATAAATTTTGTGGTATAAGAAATCCTCTATTTCTTCAGATGTCTTGTGACATTCACGCTCTTAGTCCACACCTGTCTGTGACTCATTCAATATTTTTTAGGAGCTATAATCTAGAAAATGGTGCTTACCCAAAAAAAAAAAAAAGGTTAGCTATCCCAATATTTATCCATTAAATAAGACCAGTACTATTATCCCAATTCTAATTCACCACTTGAGTTTTGCTATCCCAAATTTTAGCCAATATATAAGACCAACTTTGCTATTCCAATATTAATTCACCACTTGGGACTAGTGCTCAATATCACAATTTGAAACTTTAGAGGTATCTTTCATCAATGTTTTTTAAATTCCTTATAAGTATTTTTTCATCAACTTAGAACCATTTCCCATTGCTCATCTAAAGAAAAGTGGCTTGTTTGCCCCACTCTTATCCAGGCCCTGCTTGATAACTCATGTACTTTCCACTCACCAGATAGCTTCATTGGAATATGGCTCTCCTTCACATCCATACAGCAGAATGTGGTGAGCTACTGATGCATTGGCAAGGGCTTCAAACTTATCTGAAATAAATTTGAAAGCTTGTTAGCATGTAATAAAATTTCCATTTGAACATTCAAGTATTAATTTAAAACAAAAAAAGGGTTTCATTTGCAATTTTAAAAATAAATTTGGAACAATTACAAGTTATGTGTAAATAAACTTGAGACCAATGACATTTTTCTCAGCCATATAATATGAAAACATAATTCATTATATAACTTGTTAATTTCTACACCAAGAGAGCACAATTTGGATTTATGATGGAAGTGTGTTGGCATTATTTATTCTAGAAATGAAAGTGAACTGGATGTAAAAATATGAATACTTTAAAGGGAAGTGAGGAAATTGGTATCAGCATTTTCCTTTTAGGACTGAACTAAAAAATGGTTCTTATATGCTTCATGTTTTATATTTTGATATAAATTAATTAACTACAGGAAAATAAGTTCTGAAGTTGTTCATCATTTTCTGATGGTACTATTAACTTTTCATACACCTGAATTTAAATCAGTACTAATGCACACACAATGTTATCAGTGAAATAGGTTGTAACAATATTATTCCTATTGCTAACAATTGAATTATGTATTTAAATCTAAAATTGAACCAGACTCACAAATATAAGATTCCTCATCAAATACAGGATATGCTGTACACAGATAGGCATCAGGCTGAAACGATGTAAGAAATTAATGATTAAATCATGAGTATCTGACAGTGACCAGGGAACTTTTTAATCCAGCAATATCTAGAAGCTCAAAACTGATTAAGTCTAACAACCATTATACACAAGCTTGAAGCTCTTTCCTTGCCCTTGGGAGGTAGATTTTCAAAAGGGAGTCTTGACCAAACAGGTCGTCCATAAGGAGGAAATTTGTCTCCATCTCCTTAAGCCTTACACTAATTCCAAAATTTGAGTAAATTAACATCTCTAACAGTTTTACTTGGCATGTAGGAAATGTATTTGGGCTTGAGTGCAGAGCATTTCAAAGTCCCAGCATTATATGAGAGTGGGTGGCAAGTCTTTTATAAAATAGGTAAAGATAAATGGAACTGACTAAAACCATATGCTGACAGAATCATTGCTGAAGAACAGGCGGGCTTCAGACAAGGACGGGGCACTACTGAGCAGATTCTAAACCTCCGAATACTATATGAGAAATATGCTCAACACCAACAAAATCTATACCATGTCTTTGTTGACTTCAAGAAAGCATTTGACAGGGTTTGGCATGCTGCTTTATGGGCCACCATGAGGCACTACAACATCAACACAAACCTAACCAGCATGATATGCAACCTCTATGATAAGGCCACCAGTGCAGTCTTCCTCAACAACAACATCGGAGAATGGTTCAAGACCACGTTGGAGTACGACAAGGCTGCCTGCTCTCCCCCACCCTATTCAACATCTTCCTAGCGAGAATTATGTCAGAAGCTCTGGAAGCGCATTGGTGGCAAAACAATCACCAACCTACGCTTTGCGGACGACATAGACGGACTGGCTGGGAACGAAGAAGAGCTAGCCAAAGCGTCTCGATAAGACCTCGTCCTACGGCATGCTAATCAGTGCCGAAAAGACAAAACTGATGACAAATAATACCGCAGGCCTAACCACTGAAATTAAGGTCGGGGAGGAAAGATTAGAGACTGTCGGCCGCTTCAAATACCTAGGAGCAATAGTCTCAGAAGAAGACTCCAAGCCCGAACTGATGTCCAGGATTGAGTACACTACAACAGCACTAAAGAAGCTCAAGAAAATATGGAATGACAAAAATATAGCCCCCAGCACCAAAATCAGGCTGATGCGCTCATTAGTCCTCTCCATTTTCCTGTATGCCTACGAATCCTGGACATTAACAGCCGATCTTGAAAGGAAAATAAAGGCGATGGAGATGAGATGCTTCAGAAGCATTTTTGGCATCTGCTATAGGGACCATATCTTCTTCTTCTTCTTCTATATCTTAAGGGCCCACGATCAATTTATTGATCATTTTGGCTTCTATGCATGTAGATGGGATTTGCAATGTTTCTGTTACTGGTGGTGATGAGGAAATTATGCACTAGGGGTTTGAAGGCTTGAGGCAATAGACACAAATGTGTCTAGTGTTGTCGCCTCAACTGTTCCTTTTGAAAGATGGTTCCAGTCCCTGATTGTCTTGGGCAGGAATGAGCAGCTCCTATACTGGCTTCTTGCTGGTATGAGCCTGAATTGCCTGTCATGGCCTCGTCGCTGTCTATGGGGGAGAGGGACGAGTTTCTGTTTAATACTGGAACAGTGGACCAGCCCATTATTTATCTTGTACATCATGGAGAGCCTGGATTGTCGTCGTCGTTTCTCCAATGGTGACCAGCCTAGTGTTTCTAGCATGCTGCCAACACTAGAGGTATTCCTGTAGCGGTTTAGGACAAAGCGTGCTGCTCGTCGCTGGACCGCCTCCAACCTGTCAATGCTCTTCTGGGTAAATGGGTCCCAGACTGAAGATGCATAATCTAAAATTGGACGGATAAAGGCTTTATATGCTCTTTCTTTCACACAGGAGTTGCCAATCTTTAGATTTCGCCTTAAGAACCAATGATACAGTGAAAGAAAGGGTTCGTCAGGCAATTGGGGAGTATGATGACCTACTGGTGACTGAAAAAACGCAAACTACAATGGTACGGCCACGTAAAAAGGAAACAAGGTCTTGCCAAAGAAATATTGCAGGGCACCACAAGAGGAGGGAGAAGAAGAGGAAGACAAAGAAAAAGATGAGAGGATAACATCAAAGACGGGACAGGACTAACACTGGGCGATGTAGTGCGTCGTACTGAAGACAGAGACAAATGGAGGAGGATGGTTAACATGTCATCTGTGGCACCTCAACGGTCCAAGGAGTAAGGGACATAAGGATGAGAGGAAACAGAAGAGCCCAGCACATGAAGCTGGGGCCAAACAGAGTACCCAGCTCTGCTCCCCACACAAAAATGCATGAATTACAAGAATTGAAATGTATGCTGTGAAAACTTAAATATGAAGAAATTAATAGCACAAGTATTAAAACAGGAGAAGAAAGTAATCAATTAATATCTACCGTATTGGGTTTGGCTCCTCTCATTAGTATTTCTTGTATATTGGAGTCCATAATACCTGCTGAACGATTGCAAAATATAAGTAACAATATTTATTATGAAATAAAAAGGAGGTTTGAATTTTAAAAAATAAAAACTTTGAATTTCTTGTATATGACTTTGTTTACTTTTAAAAAAATCCCAATTATATAAGGTTATTTATCAAATTATCATGAAGATATGATTTTGTAACTAATCAATTTTTAAACATATATATATATATATATATTTAGTGCAAATAACAAATACATCCCAGTTTTGTGTCATAATTTCATTTTGATAAAAGAGATTGTGAGTATCAATCATCTACAGGTATTAGAGGTATCTAAATGTACACAAAGGTATTCCTACCACTTCCTTCTCCTGTTCCATCTCCATGAGGGTCTGACCCACTCATCCCACCATGGTGGTGGGTGCCTTTGGCTACCTCTTCCAGTTCAGGGTTTGGGGGCAGGGGGACACTGACATCAGGAGGGAAATTCCTGCCGGTCACATCTGGCAGATGGTTACCTGCACACTGACCATAGGGGTTGATCACTGAGCTGTCAGTGTAGAACATGATGTAGAAATTGCACATCTCATCATTGCCAGTGGACCTGTAGGAGCAGCATGCAAGGTAATCAGAGTAAAACAAGGCGGAAGATTAACCTGCTACACATAAATAACTCTGTGATGCAATGGAGTAGTACTAAGGGTATTAACTAAAGGGTATTAGCTGCATGTGATTAACATGTGATTAAAAGACAAAAAGAATGTCATGTAACCCCTTTACTTAGAGAATTAAAAATTTTACACCCTGTCCTAATGTTATCTTCATTATTGTATGTCTAGGACTATTTGACAGATTCAGCTAAAATCTTCAAAACAATGAGAAAAATAAACAATGCCTTATGCCATTCCACTTTAAATTTTTGTTTAAAAATTCCACATGAATGCACATCCGACGTATTCCCCGCAGCTTTACTATTTTCAATAAATACAGCAAGAGTTTATTTGGAGAATAGACTAATACCCCATCACCTTCAGGCCAAAGAGAATAGACCAATACCGTATCACCCTCTGGCATCAATCGGCAGCATTTTTATCATGACAAAAAAAATTTTACAATCATTTAATTTCATCATATCAAGTTGCATAATATGACATCCAGCCAATCATCTTGGACTTACCCAACGCTGACTGCATGTGCCATTGTCGTGGAATCATAGGTGCATCTAGCAGCCTGGAATTAAGATGAAGGTCAACATAAAACATTTTATGATTTACTCAATGAGTTTAATTTATTATTTAGGTGGCATGAAGATGGACTAAAAACAGGAATCCCTCTTTGGGGTATGATGTCAAGGAACCAGTGGGTCTATGATGTCAAGGAACCAGAGGTCTAATATGTCAAGGAACCAGTGGGTCTATGATGTCAAGGAACACGTGGGTCGGTGTATTCACCAAATGCTTCTACTGATCTCAATCATGAGACCTCAAGGTGTCTGGACAGTGACAGACATTTTTTAACCTATACCTTTGAGTTTAAATATAAATGTTTAGCTTTTATTTGCATACTTAAAACAAATTAAAATGCTGCTTGATGAATGAAAGTGTATTACATGGTCATTGGTCATACTGTCCACATTTAAATTCACACTTGTTATCAATGGCACACATAGGAAAGTGAGATATCTGCTAGGTACAATCTCAGTGTGACCTAAAAGTTGACAAATTTATCAAATAATAGCCAATAACAAAAAACAATTAAAACTCACAAGTCCATCTCCTGGTTTGACCTCAATCAGATCTTTGACAGGGTAAAATGCCTAAAATCAAAAGAGTGTATGTCATTCAGCAATTAGTACCATGAAACATACATTTCTTTGAGAATATAAATACAATTTATTTTGTTTATCCACTGTGATTAATAAGCGCAATGGTGACGTTTGCATCTCAAATCAAATGAAGCGTCTTTCTAATTTGTACAGTGGTTGTCCCCAACTAAGGGTAAATAGCAGAGCCAAGCAAGGCAGCTAAACCCTGAATAAAAAAACCCTGAACAACCAAAGACAGAAAACAGCAGCCAATCATGTCGTGTGATTTAAAAGTGACTGTCCCGTAAAACTGGCTCGAGTTATACCAGTTAAGTTACAGCGGCCAGAATAAATTGATTTATTATGATTTTTTTTTTTAGAGAAAATAAAAAGACAAGATCTGTCCAAAACAGAAATGAAGAGTGTCCTCTGACCTGTGGCCATTGAGGGTTGCCTTTGCCAATCTCATGATAGGATCCATTATGCTGGTATCCTGTGATCACACGACCTGTAACAATAAAATGTGCACTGTCAATATAGATAAACCATGATTTTTTAAAAGAAACATTCAGAAAAATATAAAGATCACAAATAACTAACCAGCTGTTTCATAAACTGATATAAACTGCAAGGAGATAGAAAAAGCATAATAAATAGGCAAAAACTATTATATTTTGTGATCAATGTAAGACAAAGTCAAACAAGAAAGATAACATAACTAAACAGCTTCAGGCCTCTATCTTTAATGACTTATCACAAAACAAAAGAACATAGCTTCTGTTTACAATAAACACAGGCTTATTATAATCAATGATAATAAAAGGCAAGTAGGATTACGATACAATACAATGATAATATAATAAAAACTATTATTTTATAGACCTTTTAGAATATATTCTTTTAGAATGTTACTTTGAGCACTGGTTACAGTAATGTAATGTCTAGACCAGGTAAGCAATAAATAAATTTATTCCACTCCATAAAGCCTGGAACATATAATTTTCACACATAAATTCATAACAAATAATCTTTCTCTTAGGGGGAAAAAAGTCAAAGTATGGAAAAACCTGAAAAAAAGATGCAACAAAAGAACGAACGTATCATCAAGAAGCCTTCTTCAGCGAAAAAAAAATGTGTAAAAACTAAATAAAAATTAAAATAAACACTGTCCTATCTGAAACTGCATTGCAACTGAGTATTTAATTGTTTTGCTGTGGTTTTTTTCAGGTTTCCCAACACTTTGTTTCACTTATTTCCTTCTACCGTACCTGATTGCAGTCTCTCCCCTTATTATCACATTTTTAAAAAAGTTTTAGGGAAGTAGATGAACAAATTATTATTTCTCATTTTAAAAGAAGAGATTTTTTTATTCCACTTATGGACGTTAAAATAAATAAACAAAATTAAATATAAGTATATGGTAATGATCTTACCTAAGCCATGTGCATGTGTCCTGTAAGCAAAGGGGACAATACTCTTTTCAGCACCAAATTTACAACTGACATCAATGGGATAGGCTTGAGAAAGAAACATTTGGAATTTTACATAAATTCAGAATACTAGTGCAAACAATTATGAGGCTATTAAATACTTAAAAGAAAAAACTACAGAAAAATATTTTTTCTTCATGTCACACAAAAATTAATTATACAGGCAAAATAAAATTTGTCTAAATTTCAGTCCAGCTGATATGATCATCTATTCTTACATGTTTCTCCTGGTGGAATGTTAAACATGGGTGACATCAGGAAGTAAATGCCAGCAACAAACTTGGGCCTGAAAGATATAACTTTCCATAATTACAGGGAACTTTAAAAATGATGATAGATCAATTAGTAAATTTATTTATAATAGCAATAAGTATTTACTTATAATTAATATCAAAATATTATTGATAAAATGAGCACTGCTTACTTTGTGTGTGTGCTGAAAAGTGTAATTCCTGAATAATCTGGTGGCTCAGATTCTGTTAAAAAACAACATTGTCAATTTCATTCTTTTTAACAATAACAAGGCAAAATTTATAAAAAATTTAATCAAAGACTGTTATTACTTCTAATAGTTACTAAAATCCGTTTGAAAAGTGAAATAATTTAAAATATACAAAAAAATAATTTAAATTCTTCAGTTTTTTTAAAAAATTGCTTTCCTTTTGATGTGATGTGCTAGTGTATTGTTGTGATAATTCTCCCCTCAGTTTAATATAACACTATATAAACTGGCAAACTTGCTTGATGCATAAATAATGTACTTTAGAAGATACATCTCTAATTAAACACTTAGCCCTAATTTTTACCTGTAAAACTCCTGGCATAATGCACCTGAAGTACAAGGGTCTTGATTGAGGTTCTACTTCCAATCCTTAGACCGACATCTGGCATAAATATCAAGGAGCAGCTCATATAAAAATCTTACTTAAGATGTTTATTATCTTACACATTCCATTTTTTGTGGCAACAGCTTTTCAATCACCAATGTTTGTATGGCAGATAGAAATAGATTTAAAAATTAACTCATGCTACTATTCAATTACTCACTCTCAAAATGTCAGCAACTTAACCAAGTGATGTACAGTGATTCAAAAACTACCCTGGGAAAATTTTGTTACTGAAAAAATTAGTTTAACATTATATTATAAATAATGTCATAAATATCTGTTCCCCTAAAACAAATTTTCAACAAAAAAAAAGTAAGAAAAGTAATGGAGCAACCGATGTCCTCAGTACTTTACCTTTTGGTAAAACTGTTGGTGGAGCATTCTTAGCCCAGGCAAATAAAATTGTGGCTTGTTGATCTTTACACATAAGGGGACAATTCCTGTGGAAGACATTGTTTCTTTGATTAGGTGAAACGAACTGGTGGTTTAACAGGTTTGTCACAAGTAATAAATTTTAACAAATTTTTCTTATAAACCCTTTATAAAATGTAATATTGAGCAACAGGAAAAAAAGGGGGGGGGGTGCCTGAAAGTTTGACAAACTATGCAAACAAGTCATGCATTTCATAACAATCACAAGTAGCACCCCCCCCCCCCCCCCCTTTTTTTTTACGCCCCTGATCTGTATTAATATTCTAATGACCACCCCCTTTTACACCAGATTTATTTCACCAACTATTTCAGAACAACAAAACAAAATATGATGCACAAACCACACTTGTCATATTTTTTTTAAAAAGAATCTCATTAAGCGCAGTTATCTGGCATTTTATTTTGTGAAATTAGTGGCATCATAATTCCTTCATCTACTCTCCTTGAAAAACATGAAAAGCTGATTTTTGGAGGTTGGGGTTTGGGGGATGGAGCTGAAAATTTAAAAGAATGTGTTGTCATCTGAAACGAGTCTATGTGCCAAGTTTCAGAATGATAGGTTGAGGGGAAGTGGGTCATTTAGCCATCCGAAGATTTTGCCAGCCAGCCACGAACAAAAGTCAAGTTAACATCAAGGATTTAAAAAAAACATTAAAATAAAGTGTAAATTCAAAATAAATCACAAATTGCAATTGAGACCAAGATTTTTAATTTTATATATTCCTGGGAGACTTGGGGCCCTCAAAGAGCACTGAAGCGACTTAACTTTTTTAAAATACAGGAAAGTTCTTAAGGTTTTATCTAAGGAGAGACTAGGTTTAACAACAACTACACTTAAAACAGTACCATGTGAATTGCTCTGAAAAGGATTTAATTCTTTAACTGTATTAGTTTGAGATAACTTCTCTGAGTGTCACGTCATGATTAAAATGCCACTCACCAAATTTGTTGATCAGAGAATGGCTCACCATCACAGCCATAGAGCAACATGTGATGTGCTGTTGATGCTTGGGCCATGGCTTCAAATTTATCTGTTTGGGGAAAGAAGGACTTACTTATTGACGATTATAAATATATTTTCTCTTTAACACAGTTTGCCTTCATTTGAATACATCCCATTACTTAAAAGCATAAACCCACTGATGTAACACTAAGTATAGAACCTTGTGGGTGAAAGAAAATCTTCCTGAAAATTTTTTAGAATATAATGAATCGTACAATAATCATTGCAAAGTTTACAAGGAATACATTACCTCTAAAGTTTACCATTTAATTGTTTACAGTAAAGAAATAATACATGTTGAAAAGAGTCTGGCTTTTATTAAAATACTTAACATTAAAATGCTTATTCTGGAGAAATTTGTTGCAAAGCCATTATTTTTACATCTGAACTGAGCACCTCTCAACTCCATGTAGCATATCACTAATATTTTAAAGAGAAACAAATGTCTACAGCCACAAGCCTCAATTTTTGCATAAAAAAGACACAGCCTGTGTTGTCTCTTGATTACAGTCATTAACTGATTACACTAAAGAAAAAACACCTTTTAAATCATGTGCAGATTTTACTGCAACCGATATTAAATGTTTATTATATGCTCTAGATCTAGCCAGTCAATGGCTGCGGCAATGCCTTAACTTTTCATATACTAAAGTTACTTGACAAACCATGCATTCAAGAGACAATTCCAATTAGTGCTACAATACTGCACGCTTTTTACACGTGCCTTGAACAATGTGAAAATTCCAATGTCCCCACCCAATTTTACACTGCATATTTATGACATCATATTTAAATAAAGACTATATTTATAAAACAGAAGTAAATATTATGCACCAAACAAAATTTAGCTATTTTAAGAATCTCATTTAGGGCAGTTATCATTAATTTTAATGTGCAAGCTATTGAACTCAGCGCTACACAATAAATACATACATAGAGATTTATTAGGTGTTAAAGCTGAGCATATTTTTTAAAAAGAAGCAAAAAAGAAAAGCTAAGCAAGATATGAAAGACAGATTTATCCCACAATACTGAAATGATAGAATAGTAAGATGTTGGAAGGTTGTTTAATCTTACAAATGAAGTATTCCTCCTCTGAGGGAACATATGATGCACACAAGTAAGCATCAGGCTGAAAAGACATGAATTTTATTTTATCAGAGTAGACAAAGTCATATGTCAAAATTGTAACAAATAAAATAAGGAAGGATATTTCTATTACAATGGTTTGATACCGTTCTAGAATTTACCAAAAGTATCTGAGTTTTGAGATAAATTTAATCAAGATTTAAAAATTTTTTTTTAACTATCTGCCAAAAATATTTTTAAAATTGGTAAACCATCAGTTGTGAGTGTAATAATTGAATTTAAAAATGTATTCAGAAATTCAATATTTTAAAACCATATTGTTAAAAAAAATTTCAACGTTCAGATTTGCAGTTTACCTTGCTTGGTTTAGCTCCCCTCATCAAGATGTGCTCTATCTTGGAATCTGTTATTGTGTTTCCTGAAATAAACACTACAAAATTTCAAAGATTGCAAAGAATGGCTTCATTTAATAGACTTCAGTTGTTCCCAAACACTTTGCCTGATATTATTTGCGATATCATAAACCTGCTCTGGTTTGAGTCATTTAGAATATCATTTTTGGCCTTTTAATTACCTTTTTTCATAGAAAAAAAACCATTATTTAACACAACAAAAACAATGCATCCATGGGCGCGGCCATTACTGTGACCTTTCCCAAGTCATGTGGCAAACCCTGAACTCAGTATTTACAACAAATTTTTATATGCCCACCGTCAATCTAGAGAAAGGTAAGGGAGACCCAAATATTGGCCTGGAGGGGTGTGGATTTTTAATGCACAGACAGATAAAGTGGGATCTCGGGTTCAAAGGGTTAACACAAAGAACTTAAACAAAGGGCCAACAGATCTAAGAATATCTGAAACCTAAAACTTACAAAATTTAAATATAACAATAACAAAGCTGACTCATGCAACTTGAATCATCAGTAAAGTCATTTTTACAAAAGCATGGAATATGAACATAAATTAAATAATTTAACAAAGAAGTGCTTAAAAGTGAAAATAGAATTGTCTCTTGATAATTATGAGCTGGTGGTTTGAAGGAGTCGATTTTCTAAATTCTAATAAAAAAACTTGACGTGAATCAAATCACTTTTTTTAAAATATATGAAATTGCTTCAAGTCACTAATTAAAAAAAATGTATAAAATTCTATATATGAAATTGGTTAAATAATTGTAGGCCACCATTATGAAACCCAGAACCTGTATGTCAAGGGTATGAGAATCACTGTTGTTAGTGTGAACACTTTTTGGTCCATGAGTTATGTCATGAATTGTGCTCTTGTGGCTAAATGGTCATTTGGATGACAGAGAAATAATAATAAACAAGTGAGTGGATATAAGTCATGAGATTGAGAGTGGTAGGGGAGTTCTCAAGCACTGCTGTTGGCATGTGTCATGAGTAATAAAGAAGTCGGTTATTGAACATCTACTATTCAGGGACTTAAGATGAGTGATTGGTGTTCCATAATTGTCAAACTGTGTATACCAGTGCATAGTTATGTACTGCAAGGCGTAGTCCACAACAAGAGAACGTCGTAACAATTATAGTAATACCTAGACGTAACATTGTATTATCATTCAGTAATGAATTCAAGAAATGAGAAACAAGGTATTTAGACATGACTCCTTATCTCAAATGACAGGGTTCAAATAACTACCTCCATCTTCTGGTGCGTCAACATGATCAGATGACCCATGGCTTGATCCCGACATCCCACCATGATGGTGATTTCCTTTGGCTTCTTCTTCAAGGTCGGGGTTAGGGGGGAGTGGCATGCTAACATCTTTGGGAAAATTTTGGCCGGTCAAATCTGGGTATTCATCATATGAGCAGTCCCCATAAGGCTCAAGAACAGAGCTGTCTGTGTAAAACATGATGTAGAAGTTGCACATCTCATCGTTGCCAGTGGCTCTGATAAAACAATACAATTTATTAAAAGAGACATGATATACCAGCTGATGTACATTCAAGATAATGTTGGTGATAAGTGTGTGTGTTGGGTTAGCCTCATGCCATGGGTCTTCCAGTCATTTAAACAGATCAAAAAAAGAATTATCTCTAAACATGCAAGGTTCTAACATTTTGAAAGTTTAACAATACTTGTTACACGCTAGAGGCCGACCGAAAGTGATTTTCTGATTTCGTCCGAAGCCGAAAATAAGCCGTAAGTTTAAAATGACTTTCGGCCGAAACCGAAAAAATACCGAAAGTTTAAAAATGACTTTCGGCCGAAACCGAAAAAAGGCCGAAAGTTAAAAATGAATTTCGGCCGAAACCAAAGCCAAGACTGAAATCTTAAGATATTTTGAAATTCGTTCCCGCATACATCGAAAATGATGTGGGAAAGTATAAATATTTACATTCTTTTTATAAAAAATGGGATAATCGTGAATATTAATAAATAAACATCTAACATAGGGGTCTCAAACTCGCGGCCCGCGAGCCATTTGTGACCCGCAAGACGATTTTTTGCGGCCTGCTACATGACACAAAAGTTTAGTGTTAATGCGCAGTCCCGTTTCCCCCATTCTCATATCTATGACGTGACTCTCCGCGGCGGTTTCAGACGAATCTCACCAACTAGTCTAATTCTAAATTTAACAAAAAAATTTTTTTATATATTTTTGTATGCAACAGTGAGTAGGTAGATGAAAGTGAATCTAGTTCTTGAGAACCCTTAAAGATTTTATTGTTATTTATAAAGGTTGAGCAGATTGTAACAGTTGTAATCGCTTTTTTGTGGAATACTTGATGCGGCCCACTCTCATTCAGACACAACCTCCTGCGGCCCCCTGATGATTTGAGTTTGGGACCCTTGATCTAATGAATACTTTGGGTTTTACCATTTTAATATAAAATTAATTTAAATTGCTTTACAATTTTTTTTAATTAGTATGGTAGGAGAAAATTTGGCAAAAATGGGGTGGGGGGGCAAAATTAATGCAAAATATTTTTTTAAACCGGGTCTCTAAAAATTGTTGTTCTGATATGGTTCTAAAAGAGCGCTTAAATTGTTCTGAAAGGTTGCTTTAATTGTTTTTAATGATGGTTTAGTTTGTTGTTAAAGATCGTTAGTTGCTTGTTATTGATCGCTTAGTTTGTTCGAAAATATCGCTTAGTTGTTGTTAAAGATCGTTTAATTTGTTCTAAAAGATCGCTTAGTTTTTTGTTAAAGATCGTCCAAATTTTGTTAATTATCGCTTTATTTTTTCTTAAAGATTGTTTAGTTTGTTCATAAAGATCACTTAGTTTGTTGTTAAAGATGGCTTAGTTTTTTCATAAAGATCCCTTAGTTTGTTCTTAAAGATAATTGATTTTTTCCTTAAGATCGATTAGTTTGTTCTTAAAGATCTTTTAGTTTTCTGTTAAAGATCGCTTAGTTTGTTGTTAAAGATCGCTTAGTTTTTTCATAAAGATCCCTTAGTTTGTTTTTAAAGATAATTGATTTGTTTTTCTTAAGATCGATTAGTTTGTTCTTAAAGATCTTTTAGTTTGTTCCTAAAGAGCATTTAGTTTTCTGTTAAAGATAGCATAGTTTATTCTTATAAATCATTTAGTTTACTATTAAAGATCATTTGTTTTGTTCTTAAAGATCATTTAGTTCGGTCTTAAAAATCATTTAGTTTGTTCTTTAAGATCGTTTAGTTTGTTATTAAAGATCGTTTAGTTTGTTCTTAAATGTCGCTTAGTTTGTTGTTAAATATTGTTTAGTTTGTTCTCAAAGATCGCTTAATTTGTTCTTAAATGTCGCTTAGTTTGTTGTTAAATATCGTTTTCGCTGAGCATTAGATGACCGAAAACCTCATCCGGCCGAAAGTCCAAGTCAATTTCGGCCGAAACCGAAGAAAAACCGAAAGTTAACTTTTCTTTTTCAGCCGAAACTAAGCCAAAAGTTAACTTTTCAGTTTCGGCCGAAACCGAAACTTGGCCGAAAGTGATAAAATGGCCACTTTCGGCGCCGAAACCGAAATTCGGTCGGTCTCTATTATATGCACAATGTACCTTTAATCTACCTAAGCTTCATTGCATTTCAACCCTCTAATAATTTAAATTAATTTTGGGAAGCTGGATTCAAGTTAATTTCTCCCTGTACATACATGTGTGCCATTCACGTAGCTTCATGAAGGGGTCAGAGAGACATTTCCCATCAGCCACGTTACATACATGTGCACCATTCACATAAAGGAGTAAATGGTCTATAATGCTACTAAGGACTTACCCCACACTGACAGGATGGGACATTGATGTAGAGTCGTAAGTACATCTGGCAGCCTGGAAGTTTTACAAATATGTTAATAAATATATATGTGTGTGTGTATATATATATATATATATATTTTTTTTTTAAATTGAATATCTGTGCTGAATAAAGTCCTTGCAAATAAAATCTATGCAAGATGTACGTCCTAAGATTTCATTAAAATTGTCTCTAGTGATGTTAAAAAAATAATAATTATTAAATGAACAAAGGACGATAGTCAATGCATACAAAAATTAAAGAGCTCAATAAGGGGAGTAATATGAAGAGAAATTTTAACATTCACTCTCAAATTGCTTTTTTTATTCATGCCATTTCATAATTTTAGATATCAACAAAAAATAACTTATTATGGAAACTCACCAGATAATCTCCAGGCTTGACCTCAATGACATCCTTGACAGGGTAAAATGCCTAGGATAAAATTAAAGATTTAGTAAATTTATTAGACAAGGTCAATGTGTAATTCATACACTTAAACCATTGCTAACAAATACAACTTCATTTAACTCATGGCTTATAGAAGCAATGAGAACATAAAGTACACTTACCTGTGGCCACTGAGGATTTCCTTTGCCAATCTGATGGTACGTTTCATTCTTTTGGTAGCCGGTAATCACACGACCTAAAGATTTCCCAGAGAAAAATCCTTGGCTGAATTAATATTCTATTAAAAGAACAGGACAATATTTCTCCAGTGACACTTAAATTGATATAAAAAGGAATTTTGTTATAAGTTAAAATATATCCGTTTTAAAAAACATAAGGAATTTTTCAAATTCCATAACTCTTAAATTATATAATTCTTTATTTTGGCATTTAAGTGTCCCTGTGCCAGCAGCATTTAGTTTCAAATAAAATTTAGCAAGTGTATTTTAATTATTTAAAAACTGTTTGTTTTTTTTTGTTAGAAATATTTTTCCAATTGTAAGTAAATAACAATTACATCTCTAAACAATTCCTTTTAATTGATGTCTAAGCCTTACACTAAGGCACTCACCAAGTCCGTGAGCATGGGTTCTGTAAGCAAATGGAAAAATGCTCTTTTCCTGGTCAAATTTACAACTAATGTCAACTGGATATGCTGCACATAGAAAATACCCCAAAAAAAATAATCAAAACCAGGGAATTTAACATTTTTGTTGAAATTGCATAATGCATTCATTATAAAAAAAAGTTTTACTGGTTAACAAAAATTATTTCGACATAATTTGTAACTATTTAAAAAAATGGCATTAAAGTGTTGAAAAAAGTGATTATAAGCTCAAGCACAATCTAATCTCCATATATTGCAGTTGTAATTCATCACATATACTGATTTTAAATGAATAACACAAATATAAATACAAATTGAAATACAAAATTATCTTAACCCACGAACTGTGGTCGGCCGGAAAAATCAGCCGACTTTCTCGTTCTGTCGCGGGCTAAAAAATCGGCCGATAAAAAACACGGTCCGATAGCAACTTCCATCCAATATTTAACCGGAATTATAGCCACTTCCTTTTATTAATAATTAAATCATCTTCCGGTTCAAGCTGTTTCGTGATAACTTGAAAATAAATACTTTTTAATCGGAGTTTTGTTTCGCTGCTTTTTTAAAAGCTAAACTGGTTGAAGCCATGGCTGGGCCTTCAGTGCAAGACCTAATTGAAATATGTTTGAAAGCTTTATAGGAGAGGTTTTAAGTGATACTGATGATGATTTTAACATTCCCCATGACATCTCACTTCAGATTCTTCTTTTCGTGAATCTGATACTAGTCTTAGTGATACTGAAGTAGGCCTACTGAAGCTACTGTTAGACTTCAAGCGAGGCCCTGAGGTTGGGCAAGGACTGACTGAATTTTAGTCACAGAAGCTTATAGTTCAGGACTAATAAATTTTATAGTTAAACAACCCAAATCAGTTCCACAGGTCCTTTTTAAATGTTTACTAGTCAATAATAACTATTTGCCTGAGATTTCGTTTTTTGTACTTGGTTTTAGCAGTGGTCCCAGTTTCTTATATAAATGACCTAAAATTACTAAAATTGCTTTCAGAGGTTTAATTGCAATCAAAACCTTAGCAAACTATACATTTTCTTAAAGATAAATGAATTGGCTACAACATTTAAATTTGTGTTTTAAGTGTATCTAAAAAACTTAATGATGTTATGAGCACTTGAAAGCAAGACATTTTGTCGATTTTTTTTTCTTGAGAACTCCAAGGTCAAGGACACTGAGCAAAAAATTTTTTTACAGCGGGGCAATATGGTCAACTTTATCCCCATCCATTTACCTTTCTAAAAATATATACTTATAGGGGTCTTGTATCAATATTTCTATGTCATTTAATGCAATTTCAAATGACACTCAAAACGCTCTGAAAAGCTCCACACCACAGAATGATGCATGCCACAGTTTGTGGGTTAACAGTTTCAACATTTAAATAGCACTAGATTGACGATTGAAACAGATCTCATGGATTCCATTCAATAATCAATGCTGAATTAACCAAACTTACAAGAATTCCCCTCAGGTATGGAAAAGCTGGTTGACATTAGAAGAAAGATGCCAGCAACAAATTTTTGCCTGGGAAAGATAAGAAATAATTACTATGCATTCCATTTTGAAATATTAAAAATAAACAATGCATTAAAAATACATTTTTTTTAATAGATCTGATTTGTATGTGAATCTCAACAAGCATTTGCAAGCTACTTACTTTTTATGAGTTGTATGGATCCTGATACCTGAATGATCTGGAGCTTCTGAATCTGTTCAGGTAATATTTTAAAAATGAAGAACTAAATTTTATATCCAATATCTTAAGATGAGTTTTTGCACTTATCTGCATCTAAATGTCATTTGTTGGGTTTTGCAATTAAAAAAAATGAATTACGTCTTTTTGAAATAAATTAAGTTCATAAAAAAATTAAAGTAACACGCTCTTTTGTGCTGTTTTTGAGTAATTTCTTCTTATCTATTGCTCATCAAAGAAAAATATTTCCTGAAAATTACATTAAGCCTAACCATGTCAAAGTGTGGGCAATTATTTTTTACATCAAACCAAAAGAAATCAAATGACCATGGAATTCGCAGATAAACATTCTTACCTTCAAAGCTTCTGGCATAATGCACTTGGAGAACTAGTGTTTTAATAGAAGTGGAACTACCTATCCTCAGACCCACACCTGTAAAAGTGACATACAAAAAAATTGTATTAATTCATACATGAAATAGTTTTTCCTATACAAAAAAATTCAAGGTGGTTCCATCAAATGTGTCCTAAACCAGCAACTCATGAAATATGTCATGCATCAAACAAATAGTAACTTTTAAAATATCACATGTATCTTGTCTCCTCCAGAATTTACATCCCCCCCCCCCACACACACACACTTTTTCCCCTCTTCAAATAAGACATAACAACTGCATTTTATTTTTGCTTATGGCAAGCAATTAAAGAGAATATCTATTTCCTCAATGATACTGTGTGAAAGCTGAGTTACTGCTTTCATGCATGTTTCAATGTTTACAAATAATTACTTTTAACTTTCAAGTAAAACAGCTATAACCTTTTGGAAGTATTGTTGGGGGAGCATTTTTGGCCCAGGCAAATAAAATTGTGGCTTGTTTTCCATCACACATGGCTGGACAGTTCCTGTGGGGAAAAAAAATATATGTTTAAGACACATTAAATTATTTTATTTATCAGAACAGAAGTGCCTTGCCTTGTAAATAGTTCAGTTATAGAAACTTTTAGAGAAGCCATAAGTGTTACAGGAGCTAACAAGTGTTACACACTATATGAATAGGTACACACATGAGATAATTGGTTGCTTTGGTTGGTTTAAGGTTCAATTACTTTTGTAAAGGTCCTACTTTTTTATAAAAATTTGATAAAATCAGGGTAGCGACCTATCCACTCAATATCAATTTCGCTTATTGTTATTCAGAGTGAAGTAGTCATATATTAAAAAAGTTGGAGAACTGCTTTCTCCCTTGATCTCCCTTAACGCTATGTTCGACCAGAGGGAAATCCTTTTTATTTTTTATTAAAGATCATGTCCACTGCTTTTTGGTTTTCAAGTTGTGGAAACATTTATGAGACATCTGTTAAGAATCGTTTATTTATGTGCATCTTATCTACAGATCCACTCTAAATAACCCCTTTGACAACACCAAACTAAGGGTGCGAGATATTCACTGGTGCGACCTATACACAAGTATAAACGGTAGAACTCACCAAATTTGATCTTTAGAAGCTGGCTCACCATCACAGCCATAGAGCAACATATGGTGTGCTGTTGAGGCATTGGCCAGCGCTTCAAATTTGTCTAAAAACATAAAAATTATTACTGCGTTAACCATTTTAAATTGCATCTCTCTTATTAGTATAAAAACAGTGTATGTTAAACCGATGTCCTTTAACTTTGTTAACATGATGTAGGCTGTAAAACAACTTTTAATGTAAGGCCCCATAAATAATCTCATGAGTTCAATAAATGCTTTATTTAAAATGAAGATATGCAGTACAAGGTAGGGAAAAAAGATAAGAGCAAGAGGAAGGTGGTAAGGGAATTAATATCGGCAAAGAGGGGGTACGAAAGGAAAGGGCATACACAGTGATTGGTTGTAAAAAGTAGGGGGCAGAGAAAAGATTTACCTTCCTCTTGATGTTCTCTGGGATACTATATTTAAGCTAAGTTCTTTTTTTCATTTTAATATCTGTTGCTATTTGTTTGTACTTTTCGCTGATGAAAGCTTCTTGCCGGCATTTTAGTTGTTTTTGCTGCACCCTTTTTTCAAGTTTTCCCCTACCTTGTTTTGCACAGTTCCTTTAACTTAACCTGATCCGAGTCTCCCGCCTTATTATGATTTAATATGAATAAAAACTTTAAAATGTTTAAGTGATTGATAATGTCAGTTACAAGTTAAAGAACTCACATTTAAAAAACCCACCAAAACCAATTTAAATAACATACATTGGGTATCAACAATCAAAATTAAACCCAAAATCCCCCCCCCCCCCCCCCCCACTTTTTTGTGCTATCTAAAAGCATTCAATAATAGATGGAAAATCCCCCGGAAAAATGTTAGTCTCTTTCAGCTAGTGCCTTCAGACCGTATAAAGTAATTTGTTTGAAAGAAATTTTGGGGACAGAAAATTGATATTGGGAAGTTTGGTCGAACGGAAATTTGATAGAATTTTATTTTCAGTTCAGACGATCAAATTTTTCGTCAAATTTCTTTTTGAACGCATTATTTTGTTTTACCATATATTTTAGTGCGTTCAAAAAGAAAAAGATTGTGTAACTGAAAAAATATTCAACCAAACTTCTGTTCAACCAAACTTCCGTCGATCAATTTTCCATGGAATAAATTTCTAACAATTTCCGGTAACCGTCTTCAGACGGTGTCTATAAAATATATTTTTTGGAATGTTAAAAGTTCTGTGACAAAATCAACTGTTGCGAAAGAAAGCAGCAAACCACGTAAGAAACTATGGAAAAGTAACTTTCAGGAAAACTATGTTTAATGGGTTGTGTTGAAATGTGTCATATCATGCTAACAAAGCGTTCTTATTGAGAGCATGACATGGAAAACTCACATATATAATATTCCTGATCTGTAAGAGGATAGGCTGTACACAAGTATGCATCAGACTGAAACACATAATTTTGTACATGTTACAAAAAAGAGCTGCTCAATTACCCAATAATGTGTGACTTATTATTTGTAAATATGGAAAAGCATCATTAAACAATATTCAGTAATAAAAAATTTAACCAACTATACTTCATTTTGTTCAAAAAGACATGCATCTTAATCATTGAATAAAAAAGAAATCATCCCCCTTATTTTCATACTTTGTAGGGCACAATTTTTAATATAACGTGAATTTATACAACAAAAAATCTAATGTTTTAAAACTTGAAAGTTGGGCGGACAGATGGACAAGTTGCGCAATGGCACCAGGGACTGGTGCCAGAGCTATTCATTATATTTTCTTTTTACTTGACCATAAATATTCATGTTGTGCGGACCAGCAACGTAAGGCTCGAGGACCAACACCAGCATTCTATACCACACACCAGCCTATTCAGTATACACTGAATAAATATACATTAGGAATGTAATATGATTAAAGATTACCTTTTCAGGTTTGGCACCCCTCATCAAGATATCTTCTGTTTGTGAATCTGCAATAGGGTTTCCTGAAACAGACATAAGAGAATAACAGTTACAGTTTTATAATATGGCTTTAAAAAAACAACTTCATGTTCCACCCTTCACCGGGTGAGCAGTTTGCAAATGTTGTACAAGCTGGAACTACCAGAAACAAGTTCTTAAATGTTGTCTACATCAAACAAAAGGACAAACTGAATTCTCCTCACAGAAAAAGCTCATCCAGTTGAAATTCAAAGAAGTATTTTTTTGTACAGTAAAGTGTCCTTTAGTTTTTGAGGATTAAAGTTTTTTTTTTAAAAGAGCAACACGAATCATCAGACATTTTTTTTTTATCTGCCAGTCGCCTCACTACTTCAGTACCGACAAATTTATTTCTTGTCGGACACTTTTTATTATTATTAAACAATGCGACGGACTAATTCATTTAAGTAACGCCACCAGCACTTATTTTTTATATTTTGTTTTACATCACATTGCATCTTGTACATGTATCACATTGTCTCTCACACATGTATCACAATGCATATTGTATATGTATCAAATTGCATCTCGTACATGTAAAATGTTCCAGGTTGAAACATAAGGAGAGACATAATGATCTCATCACTTTAATAACACTAGGACATGACAACTATTTTGGATGAAATTTTTTGATACAATAATCTCATTTTATGGTCAAGAAATTTGTATTTGTTCCAATGGATTTACTGCTTACTTTCTACATCCTCAGAGGGGTTATGGCTTGACGCAGTCATCACCCCATGATGTTGATGTCCCTTTGCCTCCTCTTCCAGGTCAGGATTGGGGGGTAGAGGGTCACTGACATCTTTTGGGAAGTTCTGACCAGTCACTAAAGGCTCAAAATCCCCTACACACTGCCCATAAGGATTGACCACTGAGCTGTCTGTGTAGAACATGATATAAAAGTTGCACATCTCATCACTGCCTGTGGACCTGATAATACACAAAAAGGTACAAATTAATAAGAGGAATGATAACAATGGACTCACAAATGTTGGTTGCACAATTTAATTACCATTAAGTTGAAAAAGTGAGCATAACCTAGCAATACTATCTGGACTCACCCTACACTGACTGGATGTGTCATAGAAGTGGAGTCATAAGTGCATCGAGCAGCCTGGAATGGATCATGTGAGGACAAGGATGAAGTGATTTACTATGTTAATCAACTGGTTAATGCCAAAATGTTGTGTTAAATTGGTAATAGTTTATAGAAATTAGGCATTTGTAATGATTCTATAAACTGTTTCTATTCCTAATGCCCAGTTCTTATAAAGAAGTAATTCTAGACTGGAATGTGTTGGCTGGGATAACAGGTTGTAGGAAATTTAAAAAAATGACTAAATCTTAACTTATGTTAAGTGAGCTTTCAACCCCTCCAAACATAACAAAAACAACCAACAAGATCCAATAATCTTTCTATATTTATGATGTTACAGTACGGTCAACAAAATGTGTCACGGGTTTTCAGAATATACGCCGCACCGCCCCGGCTGCTCGTCCTCGGGCAGAGCCATGAGAATGGGGTAAGGAACAAGAGGCGCAAAAATTAGAGGGCGTCAAAATCGTCTTTAAAAAAGACCTTCATAGTGAATTAAACCACAAATCCCATTTACTTCACAAAGACAATAAATTGTCCTTTTGCTAGTCCTCCCAAGCGTTGGGGGGGGGGTGCACATTTTCCTATATGGGGTGTTGCAAAATATTATAAAATTTTAATCCAATGTGACATCTTTATTTAGGTCATGGTGCAAACAGTATTACACATGAGTAACTACTGTATGCAGTTACTAGATGGTGCTTTGTGACCACATACGTGTTTTTTTATTTTGACACAACCTTTCATTTTATTTATGTATTCGCTATTTCGAAGTGTACTTGTTAGAATTTCACAGCCTGGTGAAAACATAAATTTGACACAGGCGCCGGGACACGAAAATTTTAGAACCACTGGCGTAGCCCAACAAAATAGACTTGCCACGCATGTTGAACATATGGTGGACTAAATATTTTGTAATATCTCTACTATCTGAGAATAGCTAGCGTGTTCATTTGTTAAAACACGACGATAATTCCTACTAAACATCGGGTGGTATTTTTCAGCATTCGAGATATAAATATGCTATTTTTGGACTTTCAGAGTTTCTGGATGAATTTATTTAATAACGCAACCCCCTCCCCATCATTATGAAAATGTGGCGGTGTTGATTTTATGGATTTAAATATTTAGACCCCCATCCCCCATACGCAAAATCCCCTAAATCAACACCACTCCCATTGCCTCTCAGGGCAAACGTAATATAATGAATGAAGGTCCCCAACCAATCGTATTTCTCGATCCATTCACTGCTGGATGTAGAATGCAAATGAAAACAATAACCGAAAATATATTTTTTAATTCATATTTTTTTTATCGGAAAAAAACTAACAGAATGTATATATTTTCAACCCGGTCTCTCAACACTGTAGTTCTGACGAGTTTTGGCGTACAGTCTTAAAAGACATTTCATAATCGTACATTGTATACCAAAATCGTAAGAGTAAACAGGTCTGCTTGAGGAATCATATATATATATGGAATACATCAGCAATGTGATTATTTAGTTACAACTCACCAGTTTGTCACCTTTTTTCACCTCTATCTTATTTTGTGTGGAATAAAAAGCCTGGAAAGATTTTTCAAACATGAATATTAAGCAAAAGATCACAGAACATAATTAAACTGAAAACAATAATCTATAGTAATCTTTCTTATTTTGATGTCAACTGCTTCTTAACAGAAACGTCTGTTGTTTTGTTTTGTGTTCTTTCAGGTTTTCCTCTACTATGTGTGTTATATTTTAACTCATGAAAAGGACTGATGGGGAGGATTTTAAGAAGAACTGTTGAAACAGGTGCATCCATTGGTAACTAGATTTCCTTTGATACGAGTGCTGATAAGTGAAGTCTCATTTATTTTTGTTTACATCATCTGTTTGGGAAACTTTTTTTTTTTTTGCAAAGAAAATTTACTACAAATAAATTCTACCTGCGGCCATTGTGGATTGCCTTTTCCTATTTCGTGATGAGATCCATTGAACTGATAGCCAGTGATCACTCGACCTGAAAGAGTTAAATAACTGCTTGATTTTTTGCTAGATTTTATTAATTTTATTTTTAAAAATTTCCCTTTCATACAATATGTATTGTTATACTTACTAAACTTCAAAGCTCTACCAATGTTTTGAAAAAATTGTTAAGTGTTAGAAATTATATTGATTGATTTCAAGAAATAAGTTAGATCTACACGCTTATATGTGAGTTTATCATTAATTTGAATAAATATAAGTTGATAGTTGTCAATTTAAATGGAAAACTTATGTATCTATGAATTTGACTCCAATTTAGAAAAATATGTCTCTATGGTTTTTTTTGTGCCACATACCTAGTCCATGTGCATGTGTTCTGTATGCAAAAGGAAAAATACTTTTCTCCTCATTAAATGAACAGCTTACATCAACAGGATAGGCTAAACACAAGAGAGATATGAAAGATTTAAGTTACCTAAATAACAAACATAAACAATATAAGGGTTAAAACATATGTTCCCTGTTTGTAAAGCAAAGAAACAAATATTTAAATACTATGTGTTTTTTATATATTTTTTTGTTATTCATTTAGATAGACAAAATGTATGCACAAAACTTAAAATTAAATGATTATATAAGCGTTGGTTTTCATTACTTAGCAGAATACACATAGCCTATACGTAAATTATTTTAAACAAATATTTCATGGACAACTACCACTCACATTTTTTACCACTTGGAATAGAAAAATACCCTGCCATCAAAATGTATATTCCTGCTACATATTGTGGTCTGGTCAAAGGAGCAGAGAACATTATATTATTAAAAATGACCTTTTACAAGAATATTCATGATTGTATTTTCTTTTAGATATATATTTTACTTATGAAAAGTTTAACATTTTGCTGCAAACTATGTACTGTGTTGGAATTTCTACTAACTAAACAAGCTCAAGCAATATATATTTTTTTTTAAATTTAAAAATTTAAAATTCCAAATTCCTCCAAAATTTCATCGATAATTTAAAAAACCTCATAATATATATCTAAAAAATCAGTGTATGAATTTAAACCTCTCCTATTTAGAAAAAATGACAATTATATAGTGTGATGTGGTTGTTATTGTGTAAGCGCTTTATCTATAGAATATTTTCACGATTGTAATACATAACATTACTTTCAAAAGTAAAAGAATATTAGCAATGTTCTCACTTTTGCTTTGTGATATAAATTTTTATTCCTGAATGATCTGCTGGCTCCTCTTCTGTTAAAGTAAAGAATTAAAATAAAAGTAACAATTTGAATGTTCAATAATCTCTACATATTTCTTCACATTTCTGTCCGCATACCTGAGGTTAAAACAACATTTCATAGAAAAGACGTGCAATTTTCTCCAGTCTATTATATCTTTCCATTTCTGAACCATAAAATAACCAATCTGTTTTAAAATGTTTAATTTATCAATTGCTGTTATTCAGAGATTTCTGGAAATTTAATTATCCAGCAAACATTTTTATAAGTGAACAACAAATAAGAGTAATAAGCAGAAATACAAATTTATAAGAGATTACATAGCTATTGGGAGCATACTAGCATGTGAAAATTTAAAGAATTTCAGACAAATGACATTTCCCACTTGAAGAATAACATGGATATAACTAAAGGGTACATAATAAAAGATGAGCTTGGAAATTCATTACTTACAAGTATAGAGAAATTGATTTCACAACAGAGTCGAACAAGGATTAAACGCTTTGATTATTGTTAGCAACAACAATAAAAAGCCCCAGACATTGTGTACAAATATACCTTGGCTAAACTTGTTTAAGTGACAATGTAAAATCTAATATTCATACTGAATTGGTGGCATAAAACAATCTTATTCTATTCTAAATCTATTTCAACTGACTGCAATATTGTTGAAGAAATTAAGACACAAAATATTTTTACCTTGAAAGCTTCGTGCATAATGTACCTGAAGCACAAGAGTTTTAATGGTGGTCCCTATCCTCAGACCCACACCTGATGAAAAATATAGGTGGATATTTAAACTCCTTCAAAGCATCAGTCAAATAACCACAAAAATACTAAGAAAAGAAATCTATTTTAACTTAATTCACAATTAATTTAAACTCATTGTAAAAAAACCCAATGGCTATCGATGATGGGACAGAAGATAATATTTACCTTCTGGGAGAACTGTGGGTGGGGCATTTTTAGCCCATGCAAATAAGATAGTTGCTTGTGAGCTTTTACACATAGCTGGACAATTCCTGAATTTAAAAAAAACAGAAGAAGAGAATTAGAGATAGCTTTTCAGATAACTGATCAAATTCAATTTATTTAAATCAAGCGACATAGACACAAAAGTAAAAATAGTTTTAGTACATTTTAATAAGCAATTTATAAAAAAAAAAAAGAGGGATGGTAGTTCAAATTTTGCTTAAATCTTTTCTATGTATCCAAGCAGCTCTTTCATCATTGAAATTGATATCCAATGTGGAAACACATACACTCATGTGTGGCTCACTGATTCTAATTTTGCAGGATGTCATTGATGTTTTGTGAGTTGCGGATATTTGTAATGAATTCCTGTTGTAGCCAAAAAATGAACACTGAGTTTGTAATGTCACAGGCTCATTAAAAGGTTTAAACAAAAGATAAAATTAAAATAAACTTGTCAGTTCAGGATTTCTGATTAGTGTCATTTGTTGAGGGGTAACTATTGTGATGAAAACTCACCAAATTGGGTCACTAGAATACGGCTCGCCATCACAGCCATAGAGAAGCATATGATGAGCTGTTGATGCATTGGCTACAGCCTCAAATTTATCTGCAAGTTCAAAATCAATATGACTACCAAAAATAACCATTGGAACTTGAGATGGTAAAATAAAAAAATTGGATCTAAGGTTTTGTCTTAGGACCGCTGATTATAGAGATAAAATACTTCAAGAAAAATATTTATTTGGTTTTTATTTTTATCATAGATTTTAATAAAATCAAAGTAAAAGACACACTGCTCTTCATGTGCACCTGGAAATAAACATGTGACATATTTACCAAATTTTATTTTTACTCCTTAATTATGTCATTGGTTCCCAAAAGAACAAAATAATTAACAAATAACCCATTGCTTTGCGTCTATAAAGTTTTTATTTAACTTTGTTTTCTTAAATTTTCATGTAAAGAAAACAGCCAATGGCAAATTTTAAATTGAAGGATCTTTGTTTTAACATTGTCCTCAAATGCTGATTTGACCCAGCTAATTTAGAGAAACTGTATACACCATAAAATCATATAAACTTTTATGTGTATCCACTTTTCTACTAGTAAGGTTATTATTTTACAGAAATTATTTTAGAAAAAATGTGGGGCTCAACATAGACCAGACAGAAAAGCTATATTTAGCAACATCACGAGCAAATGAAAGGATAGGCCAGTTTTGGGAAAAAACTAACTTGTTAAGATACAGTTTGACCTAATTCTTAATGTGCTCTTTTTAGTAGCCTGGGGACAAATGAAAGGAATTTGGAGTGGGAAAAACATTAACACAAAGCGTGTCTAAAATCATTGGTTTCTTAATCAATTAAAAACTTACAAATATAATTTTTAATTTCCTCCACATGATATGCTGTACAGAGATAAGCATCAGGCTGAAACAAAGATAAGCCTAAATTAGGTTCAAGAATGCAATTTTGACACATGAAAATTTTGAAAAGAACTGTGTTAGTCTTTTCTTGCTAGTAGATACTTAATAGTGGGATTTATTATTTAAAAAAAAAGATTTAAACATCATTTATTGTCATTATTAAAAATGACAGCATGTGATAATGAAATTGTGTCCCTGAAAGTGACATTATACAATTGTTGCACAAATCCATTCCCAAACAGGGCATGTTTAAAAAAGAAAAAAAATTGTCAATAATAAAATAATTCATACATTGTTTGTCTATAAGTGCTTTTTTTTTCTTCAGGAAATGAATTCCTTGTAAATATTACTTTGTGTTGAGTAATAAACATAAGATATTCATTTCACGCCCCATTGTGTGGATATTAGGAATTGTTAGGTTTAACCAACATAATCTGATTCTAACAAACAATTTGATTGTCTTTAATAATCCACTAAAGAAATAATTTTAAAATTATAAAAAAATATTCCACTTCATCTATCTAATAATAATTTAAAAAAAAAAAAAAACCTATTTGCCGGCACATGGGAAACATTTTTAAGAACAAAGATTCCTATATTTTTGGAAAATAAGATGCACCCCATTTTTAGGTGTCTGTTGAAAGAAAAACGTACAAATACAGTACTTTTGAATTTCTTTGAAAGCAAAGATCCCAATTTAAGTATTGGGATGTGACAGAACTATTTAGTGTATGATGGACTGCATTCAAGCTGTGTGAAATAAATAAGCAGAGCAAACAAATATTTCTAAGCTAGAAAACATAAATAGGACAATTTTCACCAATCTCTGAGAAATAAAAAATTTTTTTTAAAATTATAGCAAAATAAAATCACTTCAACATCTTGGTTGGGGTGGAGGAGAGGGAGAGATTATCTGACGTGCTTCCTTTTATTTCATGAGACTGGAAAGTGATTGGTGTTAAACATGCTAAATAGAGAGAAAAACCTTTAACTTATGTAAAAGTGTTGGATCACTGGGTCCAACAAAACTTTCCACCTGCTGTCCTTGATGAAGGACAAGACCCCTAGCTAAACCTTTGTCATTCGTCCTTCGCATAAGAAGATGACTAAGGTGATATTTAACTGCAAGTAAACACCCTGGTAAAAGCCATGACCTGCACTTTATTTCTATTAAGGAAGAGTTGGACATTTGGTCAGCCTCACTCTCCTGTCCTTCTCTTTTTTGATCCAGTGGAAAGACTTAGTTTAGGTGACTGGAAATAGGCCAATATGCACTGGATGAACAGCAGTTTTTTTTTGTGTCTCACTGTGCTCTTTATGTGTTCCACGTCATGTTAGCAGCTCTTGTTTTTCCACCAATGGATTATGAAAGGAATCTTCTGCATGGTCTACCAGGTCAAGTCTTCCCATGTGAGGTAGACACATAGCATTGAGTCAACTAAGCAGGTTGCCACCAGAGCATTGGGTCACCTGATCGGATTGATGCCAGAGCATTGGTTCATCTAATCAGGTTGCCATAAGAGCATTGTGTCCCCTAAGCCGCTTTACACCAGAAAATTGTGTCACCTAATTAGGTTGCCACAAGAACCTGGGGTCACCTAAGCTAGTTGCCACAGAGCAAATTAAGCGGCAGCAGACTGAAGAATACAACTAAATATTATTTTATGACTATAGCTTATTTTTTTGTTACTTCAGTATTTTATTGTTTGTTTCTTCTCTAGTTTATATTTGTTACTACTTTAGTTTATTTTTGTTGCTTCTTTCATCATTCAAGATTTAGAAACATTTTAAAATAGTGTTTATCTACAAATCCTGATCACCTATAAAGATAACTTCAAACCTTTTTGACTTATTCAAAATTAATGAGCTGAGATGTAAGCTTAAGTATGGGAGCGTTCAGAGACAAAAAAAATCTTTATTTTCTAATAAGTTTAACATTTGTCAAGCCGGCTCTACAACAATGTCCAAGTGAAACCAAAACAAAAGAGCACTGTGAGATAAAGCTACATGTAGACACAGTGGTCAGTGGTAGGGGACTGATGTAGACACAGTGGTCAATTGTATTGGGAAAAAATCAATAGCTATGTAAAGGTTTAACCAACAGGTGGTCTTTTGTTTTATGTTGTCTTTTAAAAACGGTTTCAAAAACAAAAGACAGGAAGTAAATATTCACTTTCTTTCAAAAATTTATTTTGTCAGACAAATGTTTGCTTTGTAAACCTATTTTATAGCAATTATTTCAGCATTAGGATCTAAAATTCTTTTTTTAATGACAATTTTAGTGACTGTACATGAAGTTGTTTTAGAGAAAGGAAATCAACATTTTTCTAAGTAGTTTTTTATTGTATTTTTAAAGAGCAAAAGTATGTTAGAATTATGCATAATTATTGCCAGCCAACAGACTAATGGTGTTTCATTGGAGTGACAGCATTAGTTGCTCAGCACAAAGAAAGAGTGAAACCTATTTACTCCCACCAACTCAAACTCACTACAGAATTCCCTTTTCCAAAATAAGGACAAAGTTTAAGTGTCAAATTACCGTTTTGGGCTTTGCTCCTTTCATCAAGATGTATTCTGTAGTGCTGTTTGGGGGCACAGTGGCTGCATAGGTACACACATTAAAAGCTAAAGCAGCTAGAGCCAGGAGTGGCAGCTTGGCCATCTCAGCCTGTCTCAAAGACTATAGATGAAATGAAAAAAACATTAGAAAATTTAACAGATCTAATAATTTTGCCTGTCATAATAAACTTTAATAATCTATTTACATTAACTTTTAAATGAGAGTTTTATTTTGTTGTAACACAAGTCAAAAACAGATTGAGTGTTTAAACCTAAGCTAGCCCCTTTTTTAGGCCATGTTTTATCAACCAGATTTATTAGAGAGAGAGGTCAGTAACCAGATAATGGCGCCAAAAGTAGCCCTTTGGTCACTTTCGGCCTTGTTTTGGTCAAAACAGAAAAGTTAACTTACTGTTTAATTTCAGTTTTGGCCAAAACAGAAAAGTTAACTTTCAGTTTAATTTTTGTTTTGGCCGAAACATAAAAGTTAAATTTCTGTTTTGGCCGAAAGTGATTGAGGTTTTCGGTTAACTACCAGAAGTCAGACTGTCTGTCTGTCTCTAGGCCGGCAATCCGATATTCATTATTGCTCGACGTCTTGCTGTCACAAAAACTGCTCACAACTGATTGATGACTTACTGTCATTTATTTCCAAAAATTTATTTCAAATAAGTCTAGGCTAACGTAACTAGTTTTGTGGAAGAAAATCTACGGAAATGGTAATATTTATATTATTATTTTTGTTTTTAATTTTTTCAAAAGTAAAATTTCAAAAGTATTCAATTCATTTGTGATATTCATTTTGATTTATCATTATCATATTATCAATATTGTCAAAGGCAAATGTGAATTAAGTTGAAAAAAAGTCATTTTTAACTTTCGGCTTGGTTTTGGGCGAAATCAGAATTCTCTTTCGGTCGGTCTCTAATCCTAAAGTTTGCATTTAGTTACAAACCAGTCACATGATGCTAAACAATATTTATGTAAGTGAAACCTAGATTTAGTGTTGGGTTTCTTGAATGGGAGCCGAGTACTAAGAAACAATAATATTTTATCATGTATATCTTTTTTGAAATTTAGGATAGTACTTCAGAATCATATTGAAGATGCTCATTTGACTTTATGCTTAAGCACTTTCTAAACATCAGCTTGTCATAGTCTATGAGTTTAAGATTTAATCATAAACAAATATAAAAATGTGTATAATATAAATGATTTAGTTTGTCTTTGAACAAACTGAGCTATTTGTCATGTATAATTAAAATTAGTTGCCATAGGTGTGATCTAAACCAGTGGTTTCCACATGCTTTACACCTGCAGTAGGGTGAGAATAAGAGAAATCTTTCATGGACCATTAAGGAAGAGACTATTTAAAATTATTTAAATAGTTTTTGAATATATTTGATAAAACATTGAAAAGATTTAACAGCAATTTTATAATTTAAAAAATCAAGGCAGATTGGACGTAAATTTTTAGAGCTGCACCATTGACCTGCTATGTTTGTCTAATAATTAGCACAGTCCTTTTATATTCAAAATGAACTTAACTGTACAGGAGTTAGCGACAGAAGCATAAATTTTAAGAAAATAACAGAGCCTGTGAACGGATGATATAAAATTATAGACTTTAAAGAACACTGGTAACGCTGCTTTCTCATTAAGTTTGATACTGTAAAAATAAAGTTTTGAAATGAATATCTTTAGTATAGGACTGTAGTGTTACAGTCTATTCGATCAAAAATATTTCATAATATATCTATTCAAATTATTCATTCTTAGCTGCAAAAGATTGCAAACTTCCTGTGAGCCAAAACTATCAAAGATTTAATTATTCATGAGTGAGCAAACTATTTTCTAAAGTAGACACAGTTGCAGCTAATGGCCAATGAGAAGCAATATTTGCCAACAGTAAAATAAATGTTTAAATATGCTGTTAAATGGAATTTAAAAAAGGAACTCAACTATTCATATCTGTCATCCAAAATGCTATACCAAATTTGATAATCCTTTTATCAAGCAAATTTTGTTTGTCTGGATTTAGAATTTGCGGCACATTTTATGACTGCATCGAACATCATACAATTCTTGAGTCTGTATTTTGACTCAATAAATCCCATAACATATCATTTTATGAAGCCATAGTTGTCCAAACACAAGTGTTATTATTTCTTTATTGATTTTTTTCAATGCTAAATTAGAATGGATCAAGGAAGAACTGAGATACCAATTTGTACTTGATAAAAATCATTCTTCAGATTTCTCAAATATTTGTTTAACCAGGTTCCACAGCCTACTAACTTCAATGCACAAGATCCTCATTTTGATTCAGAAAACTGGCTAGATTTTCAGAATGTCTCCAAGAAGGCTTTTGATATTGTTATGTAGACGACTTGTTTACGTCATTTACCCCGTAAATGAACTCTAGCTGACCCCAAGTTCGGTACCGCTTTTAGGGCGTGTCTAACTAAATATAGTCTCTCTTGACCTTGTTTACAACTAAATAAAATCTATGGTCTGTATCATTAGAATTAGCCATATCAGACCTTTCTTAACGTTAGATGCATCAAAGAAGCTGATGTCTGCATTTGTGCTATCATGAATGGACTACTGCAATGCTCTTATGGTGAGTCTTCCAGCTACGCTCCTAGATAAAATTAAAAAAGCACAGAATAATGCGGCTCGCATTGTTCTTCGCAAACGCAAATTTGACCATGCTACAACACTTCTGAGAGAGTTGAATTGGATGATGGTCTGCGCTCGCATAGAGTACAAAATTGCAACTCTGTGCTACCACTGCTTGCATGACCTGGCACCGTCCTATCTCAAAGAGCTGCTGACGCCTTATGTACCCACTAGACAACTCCGCTCATCTGATAGTGGCAAACTCTCGATACCAAGAGTTGGCCTTGAGACTTACAAGGGGCGTACTTTCTCATTTGCTGGCCCAACAATTTGGAACACCCTTCCTGTTGCTCTCAGAAACAGCCAGTCACTGGAGTATTTCAAAACTGATTTGAAGACATATCTATTTCGCAAACACCTGCTGGGATGATATTGTCTATCTAGCTTTTATCTTGTGGATGTGTATTGGCCTGTGTTGTTAATGGTTGTAAGGTATAAAAGACTTAGAATGGGTATTCTCATATATATTTTTGGCAATGTTGCATTTTGTATTTCAATGTGGTATATTATAGATTGTTTCATTTCTCTTTTAATATACTAGACTATGTACAGCGCTTCGAGCCTTTGGGGATGAAGCGTGATTTTCAAATAAACTTTATAATTATTATTATTATTATTAATTTTGTAGAATAATCTAGTTAAATCAGGAAAGGAAAACAATGTGTACGCCCGTTGAGAAATTTCTTTAAAACAGGCTATATATTGAGTGACAGGAAGGAAAGGACAGAGAGAGATATTTTAGCTGCATGATTAAGATAGAGTTTTGCTATACAAGACAGAGATTTGTTTACTAACTTTTGATGTGTGTGTGTAGATTCCTTTTTCGTCATTATACCTTTTACAACATCCTATCTTCTTCAACATTGTACCTGTTCAAGCCAATCATTATACTGTGTAAGTCAATAGCTTTAATTTTATTTTCTTCTTAATTTTGTAATTCATTATTAACTTAATAAAATTATTCAATTTTAATTAGCCCTAGTTTCGGTATAGTTACTTAGTTATTGTATTTTGTTTATGATATCTTATTTTGTTGCATCCTGTTTGTCAACGAGCCCTTTAATTAAATAAGAGATTAAATTCTCTAATATTACAACGGTACGTAACAATATGTTGCAAAAAATTGATTTCTTCATTTTGTGACTGACTGCAAATTAGTTGTCCTTTCCCCCTGAACTTTCATGTTGAACTGATTTAGATAAGTTGTGATATCATTCAAAATTTGATAATTGCTATAAGATTTTAAAAACATAATTGAGTTTTCACACAGCTAAAACATAACTAGATGAATGAAACAAGTCTAATAGAGCAGAATAATGAACAAGTTATTTAAAGCATTGCATCACCCAACTAGCATTTTGCAATTTATAGGCCAGCAATTTTTCTATAAATAGACAGTTAATGTAGGAAGGGAATCTCACGGATAATCTAGCAATCAGTGAACAAGATTCAACAATAATTAACTGTTTTATGGGGTTACCGGAAGTTTGATCGTAAGAAATTTTTTGGACGGAAAATTGATCGACAGAAATTTGATAGAACGGAAATTTGGTCAAATCTTTTTTTTCAGTTTACAGTTTAAATTTTCATCAAAATTCTTTTTGAACGCACTATACTATATAGTAAAACAAAATATGCGTTCAAAAAGAAATTGAAGCAAAATTTTAACGTGTCAACTGAAAAAAAACGATTAGACGAATTTCCGTTTGATCAAATTTCCCTCGATTGATTTTCCGACTACGAAATTTCTTTTGATCTAATTTCCGGATACGGAAAGCAAAATTTTTAATTTTTTTTTAAACACTATTTTTAAAATGAAGTATTTTTTCTTCTTTTTTTTATTAAAGTGAAATTCTGGCAAACTAATTTTTCAGTTCTTCACCCCCCTCATCAAATGAGTCTATTGATAATACACTTCTAAGGCCATTAATTCATTCTTATTAAGGTAATTTAGAAAAGGAAACAAGACTCATGCTTAAGAACTTCTATTAATGCAAAGTTTAAGATCTTAAGTCATAATTCAGTGATGAGCACATTCACTAAAAATGTAAATATGTAACAAAATTGGATATTATGATAAGTCATATTTAAAAAAACAACAACTAATAATATAGATAGGCCCTTATATCTGAAAATGTCATGTTAAAAAAACAGCTAATAAGTATACATTATACTAGGCCCACTAGGCCCTTATAACACTAAAAGTGCTATAAACACTCAGAGTGTTTACATTATATGCATATTTATTATTATAATTATTATTATTAAGGTTTCCGTACTATTTTTATAGGCCTGCGGCTAGGGCTACACTAATTTAGTAATTATTTATTTAGTCAAAGACCAGTCGACCAGTCTTACTCTACTCGCCATGGACCCCTTTGATTACATGGTACGGAGCACACTTGTAAGTTTAATAAACACAGTAACACATTCTCCCCTTAACTTGATAAATGTAAAGGCACAGACACAGAGTAAATGCTTACCAAGGGCAAAGTGTACACTATAATCCAAATTTTCCCTCTCCCAATACTCTTATCTTACTTTTATTTCTATTAGAATAGGCTAACTAGAATAAGAATATATTTGCATTGAAAGTGTAATAGTAGACCAGATCCAAAAGTTAAGAGCATAAGTTTGTAAATTTTACAATGTAAATAAGACTAAGAGTAAGAGAGAGAGAGAGATGGAGACAATAGAGTAACTATATTACTTGGTAGAAAGTAGAAGTATAACAGAATGAAGAGTAAATTCTAGCTAGACTTAGTTAGACTGAGGTTCCGATTGTTTATCTTTATCAATTCATTACTAATCAATCAAGTCAATTTCAATTTCACTCCTCCTCAGACTCAGTCTGAGTGTCAGTACAATCTCACTCTGTTCTAATCTTTTATAAGTATAAGTTATAGTATAGTGATGGAAAACTGCTAAAATAAAAATGTAGGATATTCAAACTTAAAATAACCAAAATATTTATTAAATAGGCCTGATATAAATAATTTAGTATGTCTCTACTCTCTAGCCTTAGTGCCCTTAGCCTTTCACTTACTTAGATTTAGGTGCCCTTACTTTATAAATAATATAATTTCAGGCTGGTATTATTGGTGGTTTGAAATGCTGGCAATCCTCTGAAGTCCGGTCCCAAATTATTTCAAATGATTAATCCTTACTTAAAAGTCTTGGGCATCATTCCGTTTTGAAATTCATGTTTGCCTTAGTGGACGATGTTGGATGGAGGTTATCGGCCGTCAAGATGCACAAACGCTCGAGCGCACTATCACTAGTCATGTGTTACCAGGGACAACTGTGGTCACGGACGCTTGGCGAGGGTATCAAAATTTTGGTCAACTCTACAGCAGGATTTATGCTCATGCTGTCATTGTGCATGCGCGTGAATTTGTTGATCCAGTAGACCAGGACATTCACACAGAAACTATTGAAGGACTTTGGATGCAAGCGAAACGTAAACTCCGCTATCAGAGTGGCAGACTTGCTAGTCGCGATCTGTTTGCCAGCTACTTGGGGGCCTTACAGTGGCGTAACAGTCACCAGCAGAACGTTTTCGGCTGCTATTTGCAAATGATATGCGCCAATGACAACATTTAGTATTTACTGACTGACTGGTTTGTAAAGTGACAGTCATTTGCAAAAGCTATACTGACATCTCTGCTGTTCCCTAACAATTACACTCACTGTGCATTGCAATTTTTTTTTCATACGAAATAATTATGACCGGACTTCGGAGGATTGCCGAAATGCTAACACTTACATATTTACAATTCACAGAAGCTAAGAGAGAGTAGAGTACATTACAATTATAAAAATAATACTTACAAACAAGACTATAATGTATAATTACAGTAAAATGAAGCCGTAATATAAAATCCTACAACAACTTGCACAGTTGTTGTCATTCTGATTTTATCTTCCTTTCTTTTCCTACATTGAAGAAGGGACATAATTATGATGTATTTCTATTGGGTGTATTCGATACTGCTATCCGAATAATCGATGTTTCTTGATTACAAATATAAATAATTAAAATTATGTAACCCTTCAAGACAGAGATTTTCAGTCTGTTGTGGATTAAAAAAAGGTGGGGAAGGGGGGGGGGGGACGACGACACGATTTAGATGTTTCAAATAATATTTTCGAATGCATATTCATATTTACTCACTTAATTTAAAGAAAACAATTTTGTGAAAATAATGATTTTAAGGCCTAAGCCTGTACTGACTTTAGTTAATAGGCGTAGCCGTAGGCGATCCCTCATTCATTACTAAATTNCCCCAATATTGATTAATTTAAGGTTTTATTTCTTCTTCATAAGTTGAAAAGCTAGAATGTATTCCATTTTAGTAGTGGTAGCTCAATGACGACGCTAGAGTTTGTGCCACCCGCACAGTCCAAGATTTTTGCGGTTCCACAACCGCAATTAACAATCTGCAGTTGGCTAAAAATGCCGCACCTCAATGTAAAAAAAAAAAAAAAGTGTCACCCGGGGCGGAATACCCCATACGCACCCCTTACTATGCCACTGAGAAGGTCTAGAGGCTTTAACAAGTATTATTATTATTTGGTCTATTTTATTTTTAAAAAAATAAATATTTTAAATATTATGATATGAAACCCTAGGCCAATCCAAACATTCTTCAAATGAACAGCTACCATTTGCTGTATCGAACATATTTATGTTTTAAGTTATGGCTTGCGAACATATTTATATTTAAGCTTTTAAATATTTTTTTTTACAAAAAAGATGTAACAGTGAACAGATGTGTAGGCAATGTAGACTACCTCGGTCATAGTAGAACTCCTTAATTACAACACCTCCAGTCCACTCTTTATTCATACAACAGGTCGCGTGTTTCTTGGATTTAACATTAAAAAAAAAATATTTACTTATTAACAACAGTTCCCCAAAATCGGAATGCTAAAAAATACTTTACATTCTAAATTTGAAAGTAGCTATATTCGTATGGCCCGCTATCGCGCATGCGCTTACTAACACTACTAACTACTAACAGTAAAAATGAAAAAAAAATGTTAAAACAAATTATTTAAAAAATCGTGCAATGCTGCCAATAATACTGATAACAAAACCGGTCTGAACGTGTAGACCTAATTTAAATTTAAGAAGTGAATAGGAGGGAAGTTATTGTGTGTAGGGGATATTATATTATTATAGCTATAGTGTGGAACCTCAGAATATTTTTTCCCACTATTCTTAACAGTTATAGAAGTAAAGTAGAAGTTATATTTTACATTAATTTAATCATGGCCATGGGAACATCAAAAATTAACATTGTTAATTGACTACCAGACTACCACCATACCTCCTCACTACATTCAACTACTACTTCTACTTCTACTCGGGCATTCCTTAATAAAAGTTCAATGAGTTTATATAGTCTTTTTATTGTTTAAACATAACTATGAATTATATTATATTTATAATGATTATGCCTACATTACCTTAGTTTTATGTTATGGCTTTATATTATAACTCAGCCAAAAAAGTTAGAAGTTATTGTAATAATTTCATACGATAATACCATAAATAGCATCATGAATTTAAAGATAATTTCGTGTTTTCATGAAGTGTGACACAAGTCATGTAGGCATAATGACATGGACATGAACTCTGTCGTCAGTGCGTGCCGTGATTTACGTGAATTTTGTTTTACTTTTACTGGGAAAAATCAACATGTTTTAGGATAAACTAGTCTACATAATTTCCGTTATCTGAAAGTAGGCTATATAGTATAAGTTGGCCATTTTGTTGAATTATTACATAATGTTGTGTGTAACTTAGTTGGGTGGAGATAGGCAGGGACGTTATTTGGGTAGGGTTAGGGCAGCCCCACCCCCCCTCCCGAATTTTTAGGATTGTTATGTAGCCTACTGTCGCGCTTTCAGTAATAAACAACTAAAAAAGCTGGCCAAGTTTTGGTTTCCACCCCCTTTAAAAAAACACCAGAAAAGACGTTCCTTGAGGTAGGTGAGTGGTTTGTGGGTGTGGGTGGGGGGGGGGGGGGG